CTATCATCTCACGTAGAGCGGCAACCTCACCACGTAAAGTTGACACCTCCACACGCCATGCACCATCGTTATCGCGTAGAGTACCGATCTCCTCACGCAAGGCATTGACCTCATCACGTAACTCCCTTGACTCATCCCGTTGAGGTGGAGGTGGAGAACAGGGAGATAGGAGTCGTGGCATCTTTGCCGGTCGCCTATCATGAGGTGATGGTGGAGAAGAGGCTCGATGATGTGACGGGATAGGTGATGGCTCTCGTTCTAGAGATGTATAGTCGGGTCGATCGGGTGATGGCTCTAGGTGAGGTGATGGCTCTCGAATTGGAGGAAGTGGATGCTGCTCATCATCCGTGCCATCAAAAAAATTCTGACTAGCTTGCCACCAATCAGTGGCAAGCTCTTCCTCCGTGGGTGTCAGTCTTTGTAATGGAATGTTGGCCTCCTAAATATAAAAACTCAAACAAAGTTAAACGTCTACTATTAATAACTTGTTTATATTATATGAAAGTATTTGTGTTAACTTACATTATTTATTGTGGCATATGGTATTAAGTCTTCCCAATCCAACAGAGTTTTCCTCTTCCAGGAAATAGCCCTGGGAATATCATTTGACGTTTTTATTGCATATGTACGCATGCTGGGGAAAGCCTCGAATATCCAAATCTACAAACAATATAATAACAAAATTAGTAATTGTTAAATAATTAATTATAATTTTAGAAACATTATATAGAAATTCTTACCTTAAAGGCCCAAACAAAGCCTGACAAAGTGTATTTGGACCCATCGCCCCGCAAACTTTTGCGGTCATCAAAGGCAGACGACAACTTAGTCCAGGTAGCTTTCCATATATACGAACCCCACGGAAACAGATTCCATGCATTCAGGTCCTCTACCAATATTATTAGCTCCCGATGAATAGGTTGTCTGGCCTCTCTGCCTAAAAAGCCGGCATACACAAGTAGTAGAAGGCATACTCGGACAACATCGACGTCTTCCATCCGAGTGAAACCAGCTTCTTATTAAATAATTTCTTCAGGTCGTCGACATGTAGGTTCGGCTTCTCCATTGACTCATCCGGAAAAACCCGGGATAACCATGATGGGCGGGCGATATGACGAGTGTACCGGCCTACATCATCGTGTCCGAATCGTAGACCAGTGATTAAGCAGAACTCCTTCCGCCCAAAGCAAGTATACGCTGGTGGAAAATGAAACCATATCTCTTCCTCACCACGTTGTATACTGTCGGGTAGATTTGATGTCATGGTCTGAAGCCACAAATGGGTCAAATTAGCATCTCCACCCGGATGCTGTACTCTCAGCCATGGCCCGAAGCAGGTTTCCTCAAACAATTGTCTTTGAGCAGGTGAAAGCTTCTTTGCAATTGTAGTGGCCAGGCTAACTTTATTTCTCAAGGTCAATTGAGCCGAAAAAAAATTTCTACAAAAACAATAAACATACCAAGTTAGATATACCAAAAACTACACTGTGAAGATATACCAAAAACAATAAACATAAAAAGTAGTAGTTTATTCTTTAAACTAAAATTTGCAACACTGTTTTGTCTTTTGGTTGAAATGAAAATCGCAACGAGAGAATCGCAACGCGAGATGACAATCGCAACGAGAGAATCGCAACGCGAAATGAAAATCGCAACGAGAGAATCGCAACGCGAAATGAAAATCGCAATGCGATTTTGGTTTCGCGTTGCGATTCTCTCGTTGCGATTTCCATTTCGCGTTGCGATTCTCTCGTTGCGACAGTCATTCTCTCGTTGCGATTTTCATTATCTCGTTGCGACTCTTCTGCAAATTGAAACTTGAATGGATTGCATTACTTCAACCAAAAGACAGAACAAAGACAAAGACAAATACTAACTTGAAAATCGCAACGAGAGAATAGCAACGCGAAATGAAAATCGCAACGACAGAATCGTAACGCGAAATGAAATCTAAGTGAAATGGTTAATCTATTATTGAAATGACCAGTAAACTTATCATCAGTTTCAATATGAAAAACCTACAATAATGCAAACATTTCAAAATAAAAATAATTAAAAAACTAACCCTCGGAGGTTGATTTTCCATTTCTGAATATTGTGAGGGATTTCTGACCGTGAATGGTTGTGAGGGATTTCGCCGGAGATGGGGACGGAAATCTTCGGAGATGGGGACGGATTTCTTCGCCGTAGAGAGTGAGAGATGGAGATGGGACTGAGTTGTGATTTTAGGTTTTAGGTTATGAGTTGCGATTACGGGATTTTGTCTTAATATTCTTTTTGTAATTTGAAAATAAAATACGCGTAGCGATTATAATGGCGCTTTAAATATCGCGTTGCGATTTACGGATACGCGTTGCGATTTTATGTATTATCGTTGCGATTTACGGATACGCGTTGCGATATACGGATACGCATTGCGATTTACCCATACGCGTTGCGATTTACGGATACACGTTGCGATTTACGGATACGCGTTGCGATTTATGTGTTCGCGTTGCGATTTTCATATTCGCGTTGCGATTTTGGAAAATCGCAATGCGAATTTGTACTATCGCATCGCGATTTTCAAGAATCGCGTTGCGATTTTGGAAACTGATTTGCGATTCTGGAAACTGATTTGCGATTCTGGGGATCGCGTTGCGATATTTATTTCGCGTTGCGATTTTGTTGGTCATTTTGGCAAATCCAAAAAAAGTTGGTTAAAATCGTATATTATAACTTTTTTTTGGTCACTGAGGCGATTTTCTCATAACCAAAAGGGTCGTGGTCCCCACCAATGGTACTTTTGCTATTATGGTCTAAAGAAATTACCACATTTAGTCCCCACTTGCCCCACTACCATTGTCCTAAGGATGGTTTTTGGCACATAAAAGCCACGTGTTAGAACTTTAATATGTATTTGTATTTTCTAATTTAAATGATGACATAGCTGAGCTGTTGTTAAATTAAAAGCTTATTTTATTTTCTAATTTGAGCTTGAAATCAATCGATTTAGGGATTTAGGATCAACTTTTAGGGTACGGTTCATATAATATAAGATTATCGATAGAAAAAGAATTACTGGAACGTAACATTACTTAACACATTACTGGGAATGTTACATTATTGTGTTTAGTTCATTTAGCAGTAATGTAATATTACAGTGTTTAATTAAAGAATTAAAAGATTACTAGAATGTATATTTTATTAAATTGTCCTTATTATATATTTGTTTTTTTAACAAGTTGAATTATACTATAATTAATTTATATATATTTTTAAAAAAAATTAAATTCATAAATTTTATTTTATTTTTACAAAATTAAAAAGAAAAATAGATTTAATGAAAGTGTACAATTTTATTTTAACACCTAAACTTCATATAAAATTCTAATTATGGATTTTTTTTATAAATATAAAATAGTTTAAGGATAAATTTGTAATTTAACATTCGTAGATTTTTTTTTATTCAATGATAGAAGAAAAATATTTTTGAGAAAAAAATTTAAAGATATTTTAATCTAAAACGCTGAAAATGTAACAATACCTAAACGAATAATAAATCACATTTTCGATAATAAACTCCTAAAATACCATTATTAAAAATAACTTATTACCGAAATTAAGAATCCTCACCATCCAAATAGGGAATCACGTTCCATTAACCGATAATCTCACATAATATGATCCAAATGCCGGTAAGTATATATCTAGAATATGATAAATTGGTAGGAGGACACGTCAGTGAGTAGACAAAATGTTGGAAAGATTCTCCTACAGAAAAGGTATGACACGTGTTGGTTGGTAACAGGGAAAGAGTGAGACATGATCGGCAGTGCCGCAATACGACAAAAACAGAGGGTGAGTGACGAGGCCTAGGAGATGACAGTGGCATCCCTATTCACCCATAAAGATGTTGGACGGTTAAATTGTATTCTTCTTATCTTTTTACTTGCTTGGCTTAATTTTGATGAACGAAGAATATGACTGGTGATTTTTTTTTTTGCAGATTTGTTGTTGATTATATTATTCGTGCTTCTATTGTAATCTTTATATTTATTGGTTCATCATGTGGCTAAAGGCCCATACTGGATACATTACTTGAACCTTCCATTCAATTGTTTTGTTCTCAAGTTTGATGGTATTGTGAGATACAATCAAAAATCATATGTTATTATTGGTGGGTTGAAGACTTTATTTTTAATTATGGGTTGATACAACGCATACCCAAATTACAAGATGTTTGTCAAATGGCTCTTAGTGAAGGATATAGGGCTTCAAAATATTATTGTCAAACTTATGCAAGATTGGTTGTTCAATTTATTAATTTTTAGTGTTGGTGTTAAATATGGAGTCATAATGATTACTTAAAGATCAACAGATAAAACATATTTATTTGTCAGATAATAGATCACAAATTACGTGGGTTTATCATAGACTACATCATGAGAATATGAATTGACGCATAAATTTATGTTAGTTGGTACGAACTTAAGAAGTTATATTAAAATTTTAAGGGGTAAGAAAGTAGTTAATTAATAAAAAAAATAAAAAAATAGATAAAAAAATATAAAGGAATTTGAAATTTCTAAGGATCATAGCTAGCGGAGGATATAAAACTTTGAAAATTGTGAAGAACTCCAAAAGTGCAATCTAGCATGCCCTACAACGAAGATAAAACAAATACCAAATTGAAAATAAAGAAAGTTAAGTACCCGATTGCACATAAATGCAAAAGTTAAGTACAAAAAGATATATTTAGCATTTTGTTATGTTTTGTCCAAACAATGAAAAATGAAGGTAGCGGGGAATGACAGGAAAATTGAATTGAAAATACTAATCCAGCCCCCGGCGAGGATCGAACTCGCGACCTTTCGCTTACGAAGCGAACGCACTACCACTATGCTACGGAGGCAACTGCTGGTATTTCCTCGTTGAGTATTGTTTTTTAATTAATAAATACTGGTGCGATCAAATTAACAATATACCCTAACATCAACAGAAATTTACTTACCACGAAAACCTCAAAACGCCCCCAACTTTGTCTTCTCCTTCTTTCCTTCTTCAAAGTTGCTGACTACAGCGCTTCAATGGCTACTGTTAGTAGCAGCAATAACAACAGCAGTATCGGTAACGGTGAGATCAGTAGCGTAAGCGAGGGGCAGTGGAAAGCTGAAGAAGCTATTGGCGGGAACGCCAAGTCTATTCAAGCCTTGAGAGAACTTATCGTTTTCCCTCTTCTCTACTCTTGTGAAGCAAAGAAACTTGGTCTCAAAGTATCCAGCTTCTATCTTTGTTGGATTTAAAATAAATTTCGTAAGATTTAACTTTGGTTTTGAGTTATTGATTTCTGAGTTTTCTTTCAGTGGCCTCGTGGTTTGCTCCTATATGGTCCCCCAGGCACCGGGAAGGTAAGTAACTGTCATATCCATATATCTTTCTTTCTCTATTCTTCAAATTTGTAATCAGTTTTTTTGAAATTTGAAAACTCAGACATGATGTTTGTGTTTATCTTTGGAAGTAATTTGGTTTTCTTTGCAATGGTAGACAAGCTTGGTACGTGCAATTGTTCGAGAATCCGGTGCCCATTTAATTATTCTCAGGTACTGCAGTATTTGCATTTATCTTGTTATGATACAGAATTGCATACGTGTGTAAGTGTTTGAATAGTTTTTTTTTTGTCATTTTCGAGTTTGGGTTTGTTATATTTTTTTTGGTTGTCTTGCAGTCCACATTCTGTTCACAGAGCACATGCTGGAGAAAGTGAGAAAATTTTGCGGGAAGCTTTTTCAAAGGCATCTTCGCATGCAAGTTCAGGCAAACCATCAGTTATTTTCATAGATGAAATAGATGCTCTCTGCCCTCGACGTGATTCAAGGTATCGTAAAAGGTCGGAGCTAGAATGAGTGATTTCTTTTTATTTTGAGAAAATTGCTCATATTAATCTGCATCTTTCTTTTGGTAATCGTATCCGAATGTATCATAGTCGATGGCTTATACTTGGATATTGTGTTAAACAAATAGTTCTAATTCCATTTCCTTTATCAACATCGTCCTATTTGTTGCTACTGATGGTTTTCTTGTAGAAAAAAAAGCAATCATATTTTGATTGTAATTGCAAAAATCGATGCATAATAGTGTTTGTGAGGATATATGGTTTATCTGTGCATTGCATTTTGCATGTAACCAAATGAAACTTTTCTGAATCACGCATCAAGTATCGTGGAAGTAACTACGCATCTAATGCAGACGCGAGCAGGATGTTCGTCTAGCTTCTCAGCTTCTTACACTGATGGACTCCAATAAACCCTCGCCAAGTTCTGTGCCACAAGTTGTGGTGGTTGCATCAACTAACAGGTTGGTTCTCTAACACAAGTTACAAGGCTCGGTTCTATTTGTAAGTGTAATGGTCGGCTTTGTTTATAAGGAACTTATTGTAAAGCTTATGGAGATTTTATATAATGATTCATATGTTATTTACATTTCTTTTCTTCTTATGCTTATATATAGTAATGTATTATGCTGACCACTCTCCAGTTTCCACTACTTTAGGTAAACATTTCTCCAAGTGGCTTATTAAGCATTCTCATCCTTCATTTGTTGTGGGCTTTAATGCTATATTTATAAATTTAAATGTATTAGGCTTATAAATTTTGTAGTCAGTTATCTACTTTGTTTAATTCCTGATTTTGCTAAAAGAATCAGTGTATAATGTCATAACTGATGGTCTGGTGGTTAAGTCACAGAAAGCTAGCTGCAGTCGGTCCTTTAACATTTTAGGTTGAACTTTCTATGAGTCATTGCTGATCGTTATTTTTGTGCATCAAGAGTGGACGCAATCGACCCAGCTCTAAGAAGGTCAGGGCGTTTTGATGACGAAGTTGAAGTTACCACACCTAATGAAGAAGAAAGGTTTCAAATTCTCAAGGTAAGGCTGGTTCCCTTGCATTTATTATGTTCCATATACATGTTACTTCGCTTACTTTAATCAGTCAGAAGCTTTAAATGTATGAAAATTTGTAAGCATGAGTTGTCATCGTACTAGTTGCTTGATTGGCATCCTGTTTCAGAATGCTTGAAGTCTTAAAGTTTTGTACTCATTTTTTTTCAGCTTTACACGAAGAAGGTTCCTTTGGATCCCAGTGTTGACTTACAAGCTATAGCTGCATCTTGCAATGGTTATGTTGGAGCTGATTTGGAAGCTTTATGTCGCGAGGCAACCATGCCCGCAGTTAAAAGGTCTACAGATGCAGGTGAAAATCTAGGTGCAGTTAGCTTAACAGTGGAAGACTGGACGCATGCTAAGTCTGTCGTTGGCCCAAGCATAACAAGAGGTGTAACAGTGGATGTTCCGAATGTGTCTTGGGATGATATCGGAGGACTCAAAGATTTGAAGGTGAGCATTTCATGTTTGTTTTGCATTGGGAATCTTGGATTTGATTTTACTTAATTCGTGAACAGAAAAAGCTCCAGCAAGCTGTTGAGTGGCCTATAAAACATTCAGCTGCCTTTGCAAGGCTTGGGATATCACCTATGCGTGGAGTTCTTCTGCATGGACCTCCTGGATGCTCAAAAACGACTCTTGCTAAAGCTGCCGCTCATGCTGCCCAAGCTTCTTTTTTCTCTTTGAGGTTAGATTATCTTTGTCATATGAAATTCTGCAATCCATAAACATGTATGGAAGGCCTTGAGATTTTGTCAGTGGTTAATTAAGCTTCGACAAACTATCTTGTTCTAGTCTGTAGTGTTATGTTTTTAATATGTTTGATATGTTCGCATTTAGCCTTTTAGCCTCTCGGCTTCAGTCTTGTGCCTGTTTAAAGACTTAACAGTTTGCTACTGATCTACTCATAATTTATGAATCAGTGGTGCAGAGCTATACTCTATGTATGTTGGAGAGGGTGAATCTTTGTTGCGAAATACATTTCGTAGAGCGCGTCTGGCAGCACCAAGCATAATTTTCTTTGATGAAGCTGATGTTGTTGCTGCTAAACGGTTAGTATGTTGCATTTCACTCAATAGAGTGCTGTCATGGAAGGACGCAAAAGCACTTTCTGTAAAATCTTGATTTTATCGTATTCTAATTTTTTGTGCGCGCAAACTTCTGCAAAAGTGTCAAATTATGTTTTTCATGTGCTATTTTGGTCATGACAATTAGACTGACATAATTCTTTTATTCGGTGATGTACTTTGTAAGCTAATGAATGTATCAAGTGAACCTGAGATTACATTCAAGCTTGGTGTCTAGAATTCTTCTTATCATTTTGCTTTAAAATTTCTTATACTTCAAACCGATTTCTTATGTCTTCTCCCTTAAACAGCAGTGGTGGGAGTTCGAAGAACAGTAGCGTTGTTGGAGAGAGGCTTCTATCCACTTTACTGACTGAAATGGATGGTTTAGAACAGGCAAACGTAAGTGATAGTCCTGTAAACTTTATCATGTTCGTTGGATGTCTTCTTTGTGTGGTTTTGAGTCGAATCTTTTTCAGGGGATTCTCGTTTTAGCTGCTACCAATCGACCTCATGCAATTGATCCTGCACTCATGCGACCTGGAAGATTTGATTTGGTAAAGAACCCTATTATATCACTTGTCTGACTTTTGACGTCACTGTTTTTCGATCCTTGCTAGCCATAGGAATATCGAGTTAGATGTTCCAAAGGTTCTAGTTATGTGTCAGGCATTAGAAAACACCTAAGCTCATTAACTTTCTAACTTCTATTATCATGAAAATGTAGGTGCTCTACGTACCACCACCCGATATGGAAGCTCGGTACGAGATCCTCAGAGTACATACACGCAACATGAAAATTGGGGATGACGTTGATCTGAGAATAATAGCAGAAGATACAGAGCTCTTCACAGGAGCCGAATTGGAGGGTTTGTGTCGGGAAGCTGGAATAGTAGCTCTGAGGGAAAACATATCTGCCGCCAAAGTCGGCAATCAGCATTTCGAAACAGCGAAGAAATCCCTAAAACCAGCACTAACAAGAGATGAAATTGAATCTTATTCATCATTTATGAAGAACCATGGCTTAATGTCATCCCCAGTCGCTGCCGCCAAGACGGAACCTAGTACCCGACGAGAAGCTGTTGGGCAAAAAAGTAGAAGTTCATTGAGCCGGACATTTCCGATTGAAATCGGTGTTCTGGGTGTCATATTACTTGTTGCTGGCAGATATATATTCAAGCATAATGATTAATGAGCAAACTCCATATGATGCAGTGGTTACGTAAAAATCAATAGTATGCTGATGTCATCTTATATAACCAGTTTGTATTTTTTTTGTAACATTTGTTAATTTATGAAAACTTTTTATTTTATTTGTTCAAAGTTTATTTTTTTTCTTTCAACTAAAAATCAATAGTATGCTGATGATAATTTGAGATTTATTAAAATGATTTGAACTTAAATGATCAATTGAAAATATAAAGGAAGGTTGAGGGTGTATATTGCAATTAAATCTGTCAAGAAAGTAGTGGAAACGAATTAGCGGAACTTAGCAGTGAACTGATTACATTTAATTTAAAATTTTAAAATTATTAGTTTATTAGTATTATTTCGAAAAAAGAAAATAATAAATTCAGTCCTATATAAAAACGCTCGCATTTCGTTGTCCTGCTTCAGTAGGCAGTAGCTGTTACTCTCAACTGTTGTTTCCACTCTCTTTTCTCCAGATCTGATCTCCAAAGGCATTTTCAGGTAGTTTCAAAACCCTAGCACTAGATCTCTCCTTATTCTTCTTCGCGTTTATAAGGTTTCGTGTTGTACTCACTGAGTTCAACCGTCAATTTCTTGATATGATTTGTTGTTTTTGGCTTTGGCTGCTCATTTTTATGTTTCGTTGATTTGTTTGATTTTTCTTGTTATGGATGTGCAATTAGAAAGTTTAAGGGTTTTGGATTATGACGTTTGCTTTCTTCTATTTTGTTTGACTGTGTCGATGCTGCTGTAATCATATTACTGGATCGTTTTTGAGGAGCTGGAAATGATTAGGTTTTCTTACTTTTACTTTTTTTTATGTTTAATGCCTGCTTATACTGGAAATTCTGCGAAAATATAAGGGTATGTTTGTTTTACTGAAAATAATTTCTGGAAAATAAAATCTGAAAAATGATTTACATCAGAAAACATTTTTTAGTGTTTGGATGGTATGTAAAATGTTTTATACTGTTTGGATAATTTTCCTTAAAACTGTTTTCAGAATCTGTTTTTAACGAAGAAGTTGTACATATTAAATATGTTTTATTATTTATTATTTTTAAAGGTTCATTTTTTATATATAATTATATTTTATAAAAATATATATTTTAGATAATATTAATAATCGATTAAAAATATATTATAAAAGTTTATAAATCCTAAGAATGTTTAATTAATAGTACACCAAATTAAAACAACAATAGTACATAACATTGTACTAATAATAATATTATCAAAATATATAATTAAAGGGTTTATCACATTAAACCAACAATAATATCCAACCGTAATAATATATAGTCTAATTCATAATTAGTGCTAAACACATCAAACCAACAATACAAATACTGAAATCTATACAACACATTAGAGCTAAAATATTGTCTAAGTAAATAATAATACAACACATTAAAGTTCACATTTAAAAGTAACTTGTTCCTCTAATTTTTTAGGCTAAATCCTGTGCTTCACTAACCCTCTGCCAAATAATTGAAACCTCTTCTCCTAACTCGGATCCTTGGGGAGCATCCAGGTTATACACAACAACCATCTTTGCTTGAGATGTCTGATCACCGCTGTTATTATGTTCGATTAGTTCCTCCATTCTCATCAGAACAATACCACCCTCGGTGACAACCAGATTTTGAAGATCTTCCTTGTAACCAGACACGAAATCGCCCACAAAATAAAAGTTAAAGCTATCGAAGAGCTATGGTGCCTGCTAGAGGAACAAGTTACTTTGCTTGCGAAGCAAAAGGTAATAGTGTTGCCAACTTTAAAAACTAGCAGACATAACTTACATCATTCTATACCGAGTCTGCCAGTTTTAGGGCCATCACAACACCTGTGGTTATCGAGACTAACTGTAAGGTTCCTCACTCAAAGAATGCATGGCTTTCAAGCACTCCTTTACCCCTGTAAAGCTTACATATCAGTGGTGACGATACAACTTATTGTTTTAGTGTTTGAACTTCAACCAGCACGCATCCAACAAAGTAAAAGAAACAGATGCTTATGAATATAGAGTGGAAAAAGGAACAATTGAACTTACAATTTATATTAAGAATCCACTTCCCGTTTGAAATGGCCATGAGAACTTTTAAGTGTCCTGGTGTATGCACCATTCCCATCTGTAGAAGCAATCACATGAGTGACATCCGGCTTCCAAAACTTGGATACAGTTGCACCAATCATGTTCGCAAACTTGATCAAAAGGAACTGCAACAAGGTTAAACAATAAATATATACAATAAGAGTTCATTGTTGTTAAAATAAAAAGCCTATTCAAGGATATCTTATCAACGAAATAATCTCCATGTAAGATACTATGCGTCCATTTCCAACACGAAAAAGATCGATTAAAAGAAATCAATGCTTGAAAAATATATCAGTTTTACCTTTCAACATGATAAAACACAAACAATTCAAAGATACAGTACTTAAAAAATAACTACTCAAAACTTATAAATGGTTCAAAACAAAAATAATAGGGTTTAGAAATAAGATAACCCAGATACTAACCTTATTTAGCTCCCAACAAAGTTTTACCAAAAAAAAACAAATAGAAGTAATTAAATGAAAATTACCTCGATCTGCAGATTGGTCTTTGCAAATAAGGCACTTTGAGCCAAACTCAGTTCTGGCTATGCACGTACTATAACAATTTAAAAACCAAAAAAAATGAAAAGAAAGCAATGAAAACCAAAAAATTTCAGAAGCGAAGATAAAGATAGAAGGAGAAATGGTACTAACTCGCAAAACAGATGCTCGCACATCATCAACAATGGTCGTTTAAACAAATTCAAACTATCAAGATAACAATTTTTAATAATATCAACTTCAAAACCTCAAATTAAAAAAACAAAGAAAACACAGCACAATGAGAGAGAACAAACCAGAGAGGACATTTAAGCTCCAGACCCAGTTTTTGAAGATGAAGAGCCCAAGGATTCATAGCTCTATTAACACTCTGCTTAGTTGAAAGATTCATTATTTGCTCAAAAGCAAAAATGAGGGGAAGTTGATAAATGAGAGACTTATAAGGAAAAAGAAAAGGGAGAAGAATAAACGAGACATACCTGAGAAGACGACCGTCCGCCTCACCGATGAGAAGGATTCCAAACAGTCGCCGGTGTGGAGCAAGGACGGGAGAAAGAATTTACGGTGTTCTCTGTGGAGCAAGGGCCGCGAGAAAGCTTTGGATTTCGACTTACCCTTTTCCAAACGGTAAGTCGAAATACCGTGTTTAAGCCAAGTTTTCCATTGACTGTAAAACGTTTTACGTGGACCTGAGAGTTTTACGCGAACCAAACACCTGAAAATAGGGAAAACATTTTCCGTAAAATGTTTTCCCTTTCCAAACCGACCCTAAGTTACTTGCCTTTATTTTATCTTTAGAGGGTAATTATATGATAAAATGACATACAATAGTGAAATTATGGAATAAAAATGGTCTTATTTTGATTTGATTAAGTAATTTATGATAATCTTTTAATTTCTTCGATGCACATTCGGAACACACCTAGATGTTTAGGATTTTCACTTTTCTGATGTGATTTGTTGAAGGATGCAATTGAGCTACCGTGCATCAAATCGGCTCGGTTTTGAGTGAAGTGTGCTAAACTCGAAATCAACTTATGTTGTAACGTAACAAATGTTTACAGGATCTCACAATGTGTAGTGCTATTCTTAATGGCTGAGTATTGGGGAATTTCATTGAGTCTTACTCGGGGAGCTAACCTTGAGGCAAAGCCCTAGCAAAGCTAGCATTGCATTATAGAAGTTAAAAGGGTTGTTAAATCTTGTTTGGAAGTGCTATTAAAGCCTGGCAGGCTATCATTTGGGAATTTTAATCTTGTTTGGTAGTGTTGTTAAACTCTAGCAGGCTAGCATTGCATTGCAGAAGTGAAAAGTGGTATAAAGTCTAGGAATAGCATATGCTTGGTTTGCTTCCTGTCTTCTGCTTCTAATGAAAAACTCGTGTCCTCTAGTGGTATAATTTCAGTTGATTTATATTCATACCATCTTCATCTGCTCCTATGGCTTCCTACTTTTTTTAACTCGATGGACTTTAGGCTCTTTACTTTGTGCTGTTTGTCTCTTCCCTGTTCTAGTAAGTTAGAAAAGATGGGTCGTGGAGTTGGCAGTGGTGGTGGGCAGAGCTCATTGGGCTATCTGTTTGGGAGTGGAGAAGCTCCGAAACCAGTGACAAACAACTCCCAAGCCGCTCCGGTCGAAGCACCAGCTGTCCTTAAACCTGCCTCTGCTCCTGAATCAGTAGATGTCACCAAGCAAGTTCCTGCTGGTATTAATAACAGTTCTTCCACAAACAATTACATGCGTTCTGATGGTCAGAACACTGGCAATTTCATTACGGTATATAGCCCACAAATTATGATCGCTTTACAAGTCCTTTAAGATTTTAAGCTTACGAGACGGTTATTTGTCATCGAAATCCTATGCTAATACGTGTTTGTCACGGATGCAGGGTCGACCTTCCACCAAGGTTCATTCTGCCCCTGGAGGCGGATCTTCTCTGGACTACCTTTTCGGTGGGGTGCACGGAGGTAGTAAATGAAGATTGTGCCTTGATAATGGGAGTATTGTTTGTTGATTTGTCATATAATGTTCGAACATAAATTGTGCCTTTGGACAAAAGTTTGGTCTTTTATGCAGTTAATCACATTTCGATTTAATAGTTAATTTTTTTATTATTATGATGATAATAGAGTCAAAAAATTAAATTTTAATTAAGTATTTTTCATTTTAAATGAATAATAAAAGAATATATGTATTTGATCTTAAATAATTATGTGTACACAATTTTTAAATACAAAAAAGATAAAAATTAATTTGATAGAAGAGTAGGGTTACGAGTTATGTAGAAGTAGGAATTGATATTAATGAAAGACTTCGTACAAGTTTTTTTTTTATCACTTTAGCTATAGTTCAATGGATTATATAAAAGCACATATAGAGAAAATTTTAAATTGACAAAAATACTTTTTATGATTTATTATAAATCAAATTTATATTAATATCAAATTGAACTATAAACCCTAAATCCTTTTTTTTTATACTAAATGCGTATCTTAATATTATAACAATGAATAATCTTAAACAAGTGGGACTGAGCTGCCTTTGAATCTTTTACCTCATCACTTGTTCCATGAGCACGCTGAAAGAGCCATTGCCTTTGAAAAAGAATTTTCTTTTGTGGGACCAATAAGCACAGTAATCACGTGAATAACAGAGTGATCAGAAATTGTAAAAGAAAGGAGATCATTTACTTGCAAGAGTGGCATTGAAAGTTACAAGGGCTGGCGGTGTTCGGAGGTGGAGCAATGGGGTTTAGCCACCGAAACCAAACAAAACACACAGTCGTAATCCGTCGTACAAAAAAATCTTACAGCTCTGCGAATCAATTATGTTGTTCTTGCATCGGATGTCTCTCTCTCTCTCTCTCCCACTCTTGCTGCTTCGTTATCGGCTTCCAGCTGTAGGGTTTCAGAGTTACATGCATCCTTTTATATCTAATTTTACAGTATGATGAACTTACCATTTTCAACTTAATTTTATCATTTGTACAATTATACTGATTTATAACCTCTTAACATTTGAAGGACTTAAAAGCTAATTTTATCTTTGTTTAGGGGACCGAGGACACTCCTATGCCCATGAACAACAATGAAAATAAACTTCATGACGAATCCATGACAGTAGAGCAAATCTTATTCCATGAAAAATGAAACAGAAAAGAATTGTATCCTATGAAAAGCAAACAATACATAACATTCTTCTCATCTTGTGTACCATTTTCTTTGAAAATCAAGGATTCTTTTAATACATCACGTTGCTTATTTCTTCATCTTTATATTCATCATCGCATAATTTATTTCGTTTTTCTCAACACCTATTATTAAGTAATAATATCAACTTAACTAAATTTCATATAATAATATTTATATCAATTGTTTATCAACATTATCTTTCTCCAACTTTCCATTCTCAATAGCATGATTATCGTCATTTTGTTAGCGTAAATTCTTGATTTTGTTAATGGATAGCAGATAAAATGTGAGTTTATGATGAATGTATGCGGTTATCTCTTATAAAATAGATTAGACGATGATGGTTAAATAATATATTCTTTCAAATATGATTAAAAAATCATTATTTGACGATGATGATAAAAGATGAGTTTTAAACATGTTTTCTTTTAACCCTCTCTTGTATAAGGAACATAATGAGAAGATTTTTTTAAATTATCTAGAATGATTATAAGATAATATTTCTTTAATTTTTTTAATCTATTGACAATACGCATTATATAGACATTATTGTTCTAATCTAAAAACTTTATAACATTTTTCTTACTACTAATATCACTTAAAATTCATCATGATGTCGAATAAGAGAGGGCGATAAAATGTTATATATTAGTAATAGATATAGTAGGATGATTATTAGATGCGTTATGCTAATTTATTAATCATTGGTTGATGTGATGGTGCATATCAAACTGCCTCATCTATCAACTGTTAAGATGATAAAATCAGAATTATATTTAGTAGAATCGTTTCTAAGAAAGTGTATAACAAATCTAATCGATTACAATTTAAAACTGTTATTAGGTAAGATGGTGAGATTATGGCATTAATACGAGCAAGAATTTTTCAGCAGTAAATAGGAAAATCAATCCAATTTATAATGTGATAATATACCCACTAAGCACACCCACGTGAAAGCCCTAATGGTCTCTTCTATTCTGCTGCAACTGTAAACATGATGATCATTATCATCTTTGGACAAAGATCACACGCCTAAGATTCATCCCCATCATGTCAAATATTTCTTACGTAATCACAAAACACACGTAGCCTGGGAATGGAAGGGAGAGAAGAGAAGCCTGGAATCATATAATCACATTTGGAAAATGTCTGATAGCAAAAGTGGGATTCCCACTTTTCTTAAAGATTATGGGAATTGTTTGTTCTCAATTGGGTAAACTACTCTAATGGTCACTAATGTTTGGATAATTTTTTTTTCACCACTGATATTTCAAAAGTCATAAATCGGTCACTAACGTTATCGTTTGTTATAAATTGGTCACTCGTCGTTAACAGGCGTGACAAAAAACACATGTGAACTGTTATCCATTAACATGCTTACATGGATGGTATAATTACACAAATAGTCTATGTTATTTATATATTCTTTCAATTTGATCTTAGTTTTAATAAATTAAAATAAATTTACCTACTAATGAAGTGTCATGTGCCTCTGGTTGGAAGAAAATAAAGCAACAAAAAAGCAAGTGGGGATTCAAACATAGGACCATTGAGTGAGGTAATGCAAGCCAAACCATTGAATTAAAGTAACTATTTGATATATTATGGATAACAAATGGTATATATCTTGTATCTTAGTATGCAAATGCTTTACTAAAAATTAATAATATGTTATATATCTTAAAATTTAAAATTATCTCTTTATTTTTGTTTAACTTATTAAATTTTTTATTTTTATCTTAATTTATTAAATATATTTTGTTTTTATTTTAATTTAAAAATATATATTTTATATTTATCATCACTTAAAAATATATTTTTAAATATATTAACTTAAAATATATTTAAATATTTTATTAATCTAATATATAAATATATATTTTACTCTTATTTTAAATTAAAAATATATAATATTTTATTCTTATATTTATTTAAAAATATATTTTATTCTTATTTTAAATTAAAAATATATTTTATTATTATCTTAACTTTTAAAAATATATTAAAATATTATATATTTTTTAAATAAAATTAAGAGTAAAATATATTTTTATATTAAATTAATAGTGAAATATTTAAATATATTTCAAGTTAAGATATTTAAAAAATGACAAAATATAATTATTCAACTATTGCTTTGATTTGATGGACTCGTTTACTTTGATAATATCACAGGAAAATTAAAATTAATAGAATATTTAAATATGAAGAGTTGCATGCATTAAATTGTTTTTAATTGGGATCGAATTGATAGACTGTATAAATTCTTAAATTTAAAATTATTATTATATCATGAGCTATTATTTATAATACTTTTATTTTAATTAAGTGACTTATTTGTAATTCTAAAAATAAAATAATTTATTTATTATTAAACCTATAATTAAATGGCCTGTGTAATTTAATTTATGGTTTTAGTCCTTCTATAATGCTTTCCAAATTTAATCATCATACCTTACTTGGAATTTATCTCTCTTTTCTTAGTAAAAATATTTGTATCTCAAATCATTCTTTTGAAATTTAGTTTTTTTTTTAGAATATTGAAATTTGTGACATGATTTTAAGCAGCAAGTTATTAGAAGAGCATAGCAGTTATGAAGTTGACCCAATCTAAATATATGATTAAATTTGGAAAGCATTATAGAAGGACTAAAACCATAAATTAACCGGAAATTTCCTCATATACTTTTTAACCATGATTAGTCCTTTTACCATGGTTAAATTATCTGCTTTTTGCTAACCGTCCCTTCTCTATTTAAACCCCTTCAACTCCTTCGTCCCTTGCACTATCCCAAGTAAAACTCTTCATTTTCCCGAGAAAGCTCAAGTAAAACCCTTTGCTCCCCGCTTGTCAATTAATGTTGAATACCCCATATCAGAGGAAGTGCCAGAAATGTTGTTCGGACATGGTTTACTGTTGTTTCAATCACCTCTGTTGAGCTTCGAAGCCTTTCTCTGGGCTGTTCTATTGCTCGGAGCAGTTGCCTTATGGCTATCCCCAGGAGGGCTTGCATGGGCTCGTTATAGGTCGAAGGCGAGCGTTGCCATCCCCGGTCCCCTCGGGATCCCACTTCTCGGGTTACTCACTGTGTTCACCGGCGCCACCCCTCACCGAGTTTTGGCTAAACTCGCTAAAGCCATTAACGCACTCAAGCTAATGGCTTTCTCCGTCGGGTTCACTCGGTTTATCGTCTCCAGTGACCCGGAAACCGCGAGGGAGATTCTCAACAACTCGGCTTTTGCCGATAGGCCGGTCAAGGAGTCGGCTTACGAGCTGTTGTTTCATAGAGCAATGGGGTTTGCTCCTTATGGTGAGTATTGGAGGAACTTGAGACGTATCTCAGCCACACATTTATTCTGTCCAAAGAGAATCGCTGCCCATGAAAGATTCAGGCGTGAGATCGGTGCTAAAATGGTTGAAGAGATAAAATGTTGGATGGAATCCAAAGGTGAAGTCTTGGTTAAAAAGGTGCTTCATTTTGGTTCATTGAACAACGTGATGTCCACTGTGTTTGGTAAAAGCTATGAGTTTGAGAAAACTAATGAAGGGTTTGAGCTTGAGGAGCTTGTGAGTGAAGGGTACGAGTTGCTGGGAATATTCAATTGGAGTGACCATTTTCCTCTACTTTACTGGATTGATTTACAAGGTGTGAGGAGAAGATGTAGAAATCTGGTGTCAAAAGTTAATGTCTTCGTTGGAAGGATCATAGAAGAACATAGGCTGGAAAGGGTTGATGGAGATGATGGTAGCAAAGATGGGGACTTTGTTGATGTATTGCTTGATTTGGAGAAACATGAACAACTCGGTGAGTCAGACATGATTGCTGTCTTATGGGTAAGCTTCTCACTTTCTTCTTTCTCGCAATATTTTCTTATTGTTGATTTGGTCAATGATTTTTATATCATTTGCAGGAAATGATATTTAGGGGAACTGATACTGTAGCAATCCTGTTAGAATGGATTCTAGCTAGAGTGGTTTTACACCCAGAAATCCAAGCCAAGGCTCAAGCTGAGATCGATTTTGTAGTCGGGAACTTGAAGCTGGTTTCGGATTCCGATATCCAAAACCTGCCTTATGTTCAAGCCATAGTGAAGGAAACTCTCAGGGTTCATCCACCCGGTCCTCTCCTCTCATGGGCACGTTTAGCCATCCATGATGCTCATATAGGTGACTATTTAATCCCAGCAGGCACAACGGCAATGGTGAACATGTGGGCGATCACACACAACGAGAAGCTCTGGGCGGAGCCGGAAAAGTTTAAGCCCGAGCGGTTCATGGAAGAAGATGTGAGCATTATGGGACCTGATCTTAGGCTGGCTCCCTTCGGTTCCGGTCGACGGGTTTGTCCAGGGAAAGCCATGGGGTTGGCCACCGTTCATCTCTGGTTAGCTCAGCTGCTTCAAGCTTTCAAATGGGTTCCGTGCGAGGACAAAGGGGTTGACTTGGTTGAACATTTGAAACTCTCCATGGAAATGAAGAGCCCACTGGTTTGCAAGGCAATGCCTAGGATTGCTTGATACTTGAACCCTTGGGGCTGCATTTAGGAATTTATGGTTATGTTTTGTCTGCTTTTTAAGCTTTTGATGTCATAATTTGAAGAAGTGGTAAGCTAGGAGGGTATATATAATATTTTGTCTAGTTTGGGACTGCCCTTTTATGTACTGTGAAAACTATGGACAAAATGATGGCTATATTTCCACCGAGTAAGACGTTTATGACATCTCTTCTCTTATTATTTAAAATGAGCACAATTTTTTTTATGATAAAAATATTAAGTTATTTATATTAGTACAAATTTATTATTTCTCTCAGATTTTCATATTCAATGGATTTAATATTCATTTACATCTATGTAGGTTAATGTATCATAAAATAATAAAAAATGAATAATATGTTAGTTTAATAAACACCATATTTATAAGAAAAATAATCTATCAATGAAGAAGAAAGTGACTCAAATCTATGAAAAATAAAAAAAAAATGAATTTAAAATGAGTTTAGTTGTTTTGATATATTATGAGTTTTTCTTTTTGGGAAAAAAAAATCAGTTTCACCATTAATCTTCTGTAATTAGACAATATATATATATATAGTCTTTAAGAATCAATGATGAGATTACCGTTGAAAGTAGTTGATAAAACGTGGGAAAGAGAGCGATGATAATGAGACAAGAAGAGGTGAGAGTTGAAAAAAACAGTTAATAAGATATAAAAAACGAAGTGTCGAACAAAATATTGGCAAGTAATTTTACCAAAAAACCTTTTTTCCTTTTAATTTATACTGATTAATTTTACATTGATCAACTTCTTAAATTAATTATTAAACTATAATAAAAATATTTTTCGTAAAATAATTTGTATGAAATAAATATATCCGTAATTCAAGCCATTAGCCATGCAAACTCAGGGAGATAAAACTCTGGGAAACATGCCAAAAAAAAAAAAAACTACGTAATAATGCTATATTTAATAATCTATGTAGTTCAATCCATTTGAATGAAACACACACCATTCAAGAATGGACTAATATAAAATCTCATCTTTTCTTTTAAGTGTTTAATCTAAATGCACAAATCAAACGACCACCGTAATTAGAGTATTATTGTTATTCTCCGAGTTTCCGAGTTTGAATATTGCATATGTAGGGTGTATGAACGTTTATTATTAAATGATTGAGAATGTTTGAACATATATTATCTTGTATTCATCTTAGACTAATAAAAAAGTGTTTGATGCAAATCTTTTAGTTGCTACTGGAGATTTACGAGCTCATTCACCGGCTCTCAAGTTGCTTTAAGAAAGCTATATTATATTATGTTACTCGAAATTCTTCATTATATATATAAACATCCACATTTAATGTAGATTTAAAATATATTGTTGATAATCAACATATAAGACGATAATTCAATACGATTAGTAAGATAATAAGATTAAAACTAACATTTTAACTCTTTATGAACGGAAACTCGTAAAATTTGGGTTTTGTCTATTTATCCTCTCTATTTTTTCCCTACTCTTTTAAGTTGTCCTTTAGCCTAGAACATAGGACAGTAATATCATGTATTTATGTTATAGGTTGAAGACTTAATGTCGAATTATTTAAGTTTATTTCTAAAAAATGAAGAATGTGATTATTGGCGTTAGTATTGTAAAGTTGGTAATATGATGTTTTAAATAATGAAACAAATGATTACTCTAATTATAGTATGATAAGTATGGTATATGAGATGATTAAAAGAGACGTGCATGATCGAATGATATGAACTTGCAGCTTCGTTTCATTACCATAATCATCATAGACATATACACACATTGCAGATCAGCAACGGGAATATGGGTGGTAAATAAAGGGCCGGGGAACCATATATTTCTCTTTCGGAGAGAATCTTCCAATCATTCCCTTGCACAAACACTTTTGATGTAGGGTAAAATAAGATTTGAACATGCACCCAAAATAAAAGATAAGACATAATCAGAACCAAATATCTAAACAAGTATGCATTTATACACATATTTAACTCATTAATTGTCTCAAGGTGCACGTATGAAAACCTAAACATTGGGCAAATCAGTGCATATAGACAAAGCTTAGTGCAAATTACTATGCAATTGATCTATATATTATTACTGAGATAACTTTTTTTTTATAAAACAAATTTAAGATGGTGTGTTGAATAATTACCCGCATATAATTATATATTATAATATGGGGGTGATCCCATAATCTAGGTAAAGAGGATGTTGGGATTTCTTTTTGATCATCCCTTACAAAAGTTATTCAACTTTAGACCTTTGGTTGGCTGAGACTGAGAGTATGGGTGAATAAAAGTTGATTTGATTTATTTTTAAATTATTTCACTTAATTTGAATTAGTGAGTTCAAATTTTATCAATTTAAAAAATAAAAAAATGATATTTTACGATTTAGTCTTTGGTTTTCTTATTACTTCAATTCATCCTTCACTTTAAGTGTATTTTTTTTTATCAAATTTGAATCATATGCTCCTAAACCAATGTAAAATATCCATGTAGGTTCAAATTTTCTTTTTGAAAACAAATTCCTGATTGAAACAAACAATTAGTTGTAAGATTCAATTGAGATGTTTCAAACTTTATGAATCGGTTTATAATTGTATACCATAATTTAGACATGTATAGTGAAATTAACCCTTTTTGTTCTGATAAAATAATATACGGATGCAGACGTTTTAGGGCCTATTTTGTGCAGTTAATAGGGAGTTGGACACTGAGTCTACCAAGAAAACAACTTGGTTTTAACGTGGAAAGGCCCAAATTCAACAGTTCAGTAAATGCCCCAATTTAAGATTTTGCAAATGGTTAAGTACACATGATGATGATTATTATTAGTAGTATTATTATTATTTGAATGTTACATACAATTATCTAAATCTGAATCTTTAGGTGAAATAGAATTTCTTCATATTAATAAGTAGAGATGGCAAACGGGCGGGTCGGGTGCGGATACCCCCTCCCCTATCCCCATACCCACATAATATTTTTCAATCCACCACCCGCCCACCACCCATGATGGGTAAAAATTTTCAAATCCACATCCGCCCACACGGGTACATTCTCAAATCCATCCCCACACCCACTACCCAACTAGAGACATACCCGACTAGACCCGCCTGATAGCAAACTTAAGTTATACATAAGCAACAAACATAAAACAAACACGTCCATTAAGAAACATAATAAAATAAACCAAGGATTATCTGAGTTAAATGTTAATATAGATCTTAAAGTACATAAAACACCATAATAAAAGACATAATTAAAGTCTAGAAACATAAATGACAAACACATAATGTTTTTGTTCTTTGGCACAACATTTTAAAATTTCAGACAATACTTGTGACATCTAATATACTCCAATATTACAATCATTATTCTCATAAAACACCATAATAAAAGACATAATTAAAGCCTAGAAACATAAATGACAAACACATAATATTTTTGTTATTTGGCACAACATTCTCAAATTTCAAGCAATACTTGTGACATCTGATACTCCAGTATTACAATCATCATTCTCTATTTCCTCCAATTGAGAGCGCTCCAATTTAAATTCACTACTACCTACATATATAATAGAAGGTAAAATTAATATAAGTTAGTAACTAAACTTTAATAAGATAATTAAGCACAATTTGACAACTAATATAAACTAAATAATAATATTACCTTTAATATCGGCCCAAAGCCAATTCTGAGCACACATTAATGCTTCAATCGTCTCTGGAAGTAGTCGACTACGATAAGGACCAATTACTCTTCCACCTGTACTGAATGCAGATTCTGATGGGACAGTGGAGACATGAATGCTCAAAATATCCTTTGCTATTTGTTGGAGAGTTGTATAACTATTTCCATTTGTTTTCCACCAGTTAAGAATATCAAAATCATCAACAAATGGTATGTTAGCAGTTTCTAAGTACATGTCCAAATCAGATTTTTTTCTGAAATTGCATCATTATTTTACTTTACAAATTCAGCAAACTAGTTTAACATTGTTCCTTTACCCTTGGTATTGAAAAAACCAACATATTTGATTTTGCTCTTACTTGCTTGGTTCTTACCATTTCTATATCCATACTCATCCACTAATTCATGTAGAAGACCTTCAATTCTATCAATCTCAGCTTGAACAATAAACGCGTCATAAAATTTTTCAAAATAGAAACAAATCAATTTCAGCTTGAACCTCGGATCAAGTATAGTGGCCACGCCCATAAGACCATTAACATCAGCCCAATACTTGTTGTACTTCTCCAACATTACTAGCACCATCTTTCTTATATAATCACAGGGCGATGAAAGCCAATTCGACATTGTTATTCTAACCCCACAAATACATGGAAAATAATTGTTTGTTGTGGGATATTTAGAGGCAGAAAATACAAGTATAATATCGTTAAACACTTCCAATAATTCACAAATTTTCTCCACCTTTTGCCAATCATCATTAAGTGGCAGATTCTTAAACAAACTTTCACGACCACTCAAGACAACAAATACCTCCTTATAATTTAAAGCAACCATAAACATGTTATAAGTCGAATTCCACCTAGTCTTGCAATCAAGTTGTAACTTTTTTGTACATTCAGGAACCACTTGCTTAGCTACTTGTTCAAAATTTTGATTTCTTTTATCTGAACCAGTCCAAAAGGCAACACTATCCCTAATTCTATCAAGACCATTTTTTATCTCAGAACTCAACCCATCTTGAATAATCAAATTAAGTATATGAGCACAACAACGCATATGAAGAAAACGTCCATGCAACATTAGCGAGCCATAAGGAAACTCTTGACACAAAATATCAATCATAGCATCATTAGTTGTGCGATTATCCACAGTTATACAAGACAACCTGATATCAATATTCCAAGAGTGGATGCATTCTTTCAAATGTTCAGCAAGAACCTCAGCCGTGTGAGGTGCCGGGACATACAAAAACCTATCATATTAATGTGACATGCATTAACACATGAAATAAAAGAAAGTGAAACTTCATAAAGGAACAAACTTCTAAAATAATATTACCTAAGTGTTTGACTTTGGAGTTTCCATCCATTATCAATAAAGTGTGCAGTGACAACCATGTATCCCTTTCTTTGATTGCTTGAGGTCCACATGCCAGTGGTCAAGGCGATCCTACTATTCATTTTTCTCAACAATGCACTTATGCCCTCTTTTTCAGTCTCGTATCTTTGCATGATATCTTTCTTGGTTGTATTACGACACGAAACTTTAAAGCCTGGTTGAAGTGTATTGGAGTACTTCTTAAAGCCATAATGTTCAACAATGGTAAGAGGGTGTTCATGCAAAATGATCATTTCTGTCAAGACTTTTCTCCCTTTATCTTGGCGGAATTCATATGGTGCCAAAGAAAGAATGTCATTCGAACCACCATCTTTAGCTTGTGTTCCAAATAGCCTTGTTTGTCGAATATCTAGGCATTTTCTTTTGACACATTTATTTGCATGCTCGGTTAAGTGACTTGTCCCCGCTCTTGGTCCTCCAGTAAGTTGTTTATTGCAATAGTTACATTCAACTTTTATTTCCTTCCCAACTCGTTTTCTTGTAAAGTGAATCCAAGTTCTTGATGTATGCCTCAAAGTTAAGGGAATGACCATAAGATCTGCATCATCAGTTTGCTTTGGACTTTTGTCACCACAGTCAGAAATTGAGGTAGAATTTGCTGTAGTGGTTGGCTTTGAGATTGATGGTGATGAGGTGGTTGTAGTATTGTGTTGTTCATTTTTGTCTGTCATTATGTATTATGTAATTACAATTACAATAAAACATGTTATATAAGATTCATAAAACACATATTAATCACACATCCACAAACAGACAAAAGACAACAAAATATTTACAACCCGTTATTTGCAAAATATTACTATAACTTAAGAGATGACAAAGCAGGCTTAAAGCACCCCGAAACTAAAAACACAAAGCATCAGTTCACAATGACAAGGTTTAGATACACACTTTATTTGTTTATAAATAATAAAAAGTCAAGAGATATCATCCATAATAATTTAAGCACTTTCTCCGGTTAGAAGATCCATGACAACTCCCTTAATGCTTCCATTGTTTTTCTTCGGCAATTAAAGAACGGAAGGACCAGGAAACTCAGTAATTAAAGAACGATATGACTCTGTTAGCCTAAAACGTGGGTGCTCAGTGATAAGATACTGATTTGCAGAACATTAAGAAATTAAGCTTAAAACAAACATTGAGATGAATCTAAAAAATAATTAAAAATCAGTACGAGCAAATAAAAATTAAACTCTTAAAACGAAATGCAGAGGAGCTTAAAAAGAAATAACTACGGAAGTAATTAATTAACAAGCAACTAAAAGTTCATCAAATAAATTGTCATAAGTACTACCGGGTTCCTTGTCCCCCTTTCATTTTCAAAATCAAAGAAGCTTAAGGCTACCGAATCCTAGAGCACAATAAAGCTGTATTAGCTATACAACAACCGACTTAAAGTCTAATACTTTAATTTTACCGGAAGCCATGTTTATTACAAGCTTTACATTGAGTTTCAATTGAAATCCCAATCCCATACCAGGGCTTTTGGCTTAAAGAAAACAACCAACCACCATGTGCAAACATCAAAATTCACATCTAAAAGGAGCATAAAAGGTGAAGCTTTCAACTACAAAAGGCAAAATTTTAAAGAATAAAATAACTTCATCTCTAAAATACTGTGGAGAGAACATAGATATTTCTCATAGAAGAATATGAACAAAAAAGTAAAGCTTGGTAAGAGTTAAAACTCAAAAACCCCAAAATAGATAAAGATAAAATTATCAAAGGGGTGCCTATGAAACTGAGAAATACGTAGAACCTAGAGAAGGGTTGCCTTTGAAGATGCCAATAATGGTTTTTACAAAAATTAAATTTAAGTAAAAAGGGAAGAAACATACCTGAACTGGAGATTGGAGACCAGAGGTTTGAAAGATCGGCGCAGTAAGTAATGACTAATGAGAGGTTTTAAAGGAAAAAAATTATGCATAAACTTAACTTATCTCTAATATTTGGTCAAATTATAAGTTATATCTTATACAATATTAGTATTTATAAATTAGTCTATAAAATTACACCTAAATTCATAATGGTCCAAAATTTAATGGATATTTAGCTAGGTGGGCGGATGCGGGGCGGGTAATGTCTCAAACCCACTACCCGCGACGGGTACAACTTTCTAAATCCAAACCCGCCCACTACTCGCTAAAATTATATTCATCCCCGCCCCAATTGGAGCGGGTGCAGTATGAAATCTACGAAACTGTACCCGTCTGCCATCCCTATTAATAAGGTTGTTTAATGGATTTTAGTATATTATATTTAAATAATTATTTTATTTATTAAATTAATTGAATTGTTATAAAGTAAATATTAAAATTTTTAAAATAATTATTATACAAATCAAATGGAATGATAGTTATAGATTTTGAGTTGAAACATAATATTTACGAGATATTTAAATATTTATACAAACAAATATATAATCACATTTTACCTTGAAACAAAGAGTGAAACGCCATTGTTATTAGTTGAGCCAATAATAGGTGCTGAAAGTCGGTTTATGAAGTGAGAACTAGAAGCAGCCGAGGAGGAAGACGGTAAAAGTAAAACAGAATAATGAGCAATGGTGGAATTATATTCCGGTCTCTATTACGAAGCTCTCAAAGACCTCTCCTGGGCATCGTTGCTTCATTTTCCTATACTGCAAGCTCTCTCCTTTACCTCACCCCACTTCCCTTAATCCTTTTTCTTCTTCTTCTCGTTCTGCTGTTGCTTCCCTTGAACTAAACCCCATTTTCTCTTTTGCTTCTTCCTTCACTCGCCGTCTGCTACACAGCACAACCTCCGTCCATAATAAAAACGATCACTGGGAAGAAGAAGAAGAACAAGACCTATATATTTTTGTATGTTTCATTATTCTTGTTTCTTCTGGGCATTCGGTAAAATTCCCGTGTCAGTAAATGTTTTTTTTTTCTTTTTTTGAACTTGTTGCTGTTTGCAGATGAAACAGATAAAGATGATGGAGAAACCACAGATGGGTGGGAAGAAGAGGATTATGACGTCGAACCCAAGGTATACATTATTTATAGTTTCTTAGTTTCATGAGCACCGGAAGGACCATCAAATGCTTTGTTTTAATTAAACAGTCAGGTTTCCTTTGTAGTTTCTTACTTTTCTTCTTCTTTTCATTCACATTGATGCGAGAATCCACGGACCATTGTAATGTTTTGTTTTAATTAAATAGTCCAGTTCCTCTAGTAGTTTCTTAGATTTTTGTTTGAAGGAATACACTACAGTGTACATTGCTTTTGGTAACGACTTGTTTTCTTATTAATGTAGCTTGGTGATGGAGGGGACGGTGGTGGAGTTGTATTGCAAGGTGTTCCTTGGGTGAATCTGTTCTGTCAATTGCCCATGATGTACTAAAGATGTTTAGCGATGACTTCAAACTTTATGTTTTCAAGACTTCACCTCGTGGATACTTTTGGTACAAATTGTCACACGAGTGAGTTTTCTTCCTTAGCACCTTTAGTTATTGATTTGAAGAATCTAAAGTTATATATATATATATTTTACTTGGAACAGGTCTGTGTGAATCGGCGTCCGGTTTTAACCACTTGTTGGATTTCAGTAATTATCATTTACCATTTTGTGCTTGACCCAACTCAATGATATCTGATGAAGAAAGAAGGAAATTTGGCAAGTTACTTAGAAAAAGGTTGAATCAACCCTATTTTTTCTCTAGAAAATAAAAAATTTTCGGTGGGATTTCACAGTCGTCTTGTGATGCATAATGTATGTAACTTGGCACTTGGAAGTTGAATCACTAGGGTTTACTATATTAAAAGGATGTCCCAGCATGGAGGAACTGCAGAGTTATAGTCAAGAATATAAGAAAAGATTAGATGAAGCCGGAGAGCGAAGAGAAATACCAGATGATTTGGGTCTTGAGGTAATAAGTGGCTAGTTCTTACGCGCTGAGTCTCGGATATGGGTTCTACTATTTGTGAATGAATTTACCTTGATTAAGTAGGATTATATTTATTATCTAAAAAGGACGTTTGGTTATGAAGGTATCATCTCCTGGTGCAGAGAGACTACTAAAGGTACCGGATGATTTAGACCGGTTCAAAGATATGACAATGAGAGTTTGTTATATTGAAGACACAGAGTCTAATCATACGGAAAAGAGTGGGGTCTTCTTACTAGATTCGGGTGAGCAAGAGAGCTGTGTGTGAAAGTTGGCAGATGTGAAGGAGAACCAGGACCCCGACAGCAAGGGTAGACCATTAAGCCGAAAACAAAGGCATTGGAGATTAAGACTGCCTTTCGATAAGCATAAGATGACAATGATGTACCTCAAACAGTGAACAAAGAACGGACTGAAGCACAGAAGGTATGAACACTTTCTTTGTAGTACTCGAGTAGTATGGTTACATTGAAGATTATCATTAAACCAAACTTTAGAATTACTGTGAACATAAACTAATGTTGTTTCGGTTTTCTTTGGGTTCATCATATGTTTAGAAATTAGAGATATGATCCTATAAGAATCTTTCGACAATCGAAAAACTTGAAAGGAAACCGAATAAATTCGTGTCTGACTTATTTTTTTTATTGTGTTCGTGTCCGAGTAACACCGTGTGGATATGAATAATGAAAAGGATTACATATCTAATTAAAATAACTTTTAAAAAGTAACAGGGAAAGGAATTTGTCCAACTTAGAACCCTGCACGCTATGAACTCTTTGCATTTTTCAGCCGTAATTTTTGTAGACTTCTATTTTGTAGATATATATTGGATTATTATTTGATAATCTACGACGTATATGAAGTCTCAAAGTCAAAGTTAATTTGCACACAAAAAAATCACCAAAATAAACGATGAGTTTAACTTAGACAACTTCAAATTTATTTTTTTTAAATGTCATACGTATTAAAATAATACAATTAACCCTTTCCGGTCTATATATTTACATTGAAAAAAAAAGAAAAATATCGAAAGAAAAAAAAAGGAAAATGTAGTGATATGGTTGAAAAGGATATCGCACGAAATTAGCTTTGGTAAGTTCTCTTCATTGAACTCAATAGTTAAACAAAAGGTGAGGGAATATAATATATTAAAGCTTAAGCAAACATCAATTATTATGCATGTATAATAAGTCTGGTTTATTCCATGATTTTCTTTAAATACAATAATTTAGCAATAGAAGTGGAAAATGAATTTAGTAATTATCAAATATAATCTACAGAGCATTGTTGGGAAGCTCCAAATTCTTCATCTAACCGTGAATATATTTGGGATTTAATTTTTATAGAAAATTCCAGTGAAATAATATTTAATAATTTTATATCTATTAAATTTACTTCTATTCTTTCATACACAGACAACTTAACAAGAAAGACTAAAGAATCCAGTTTTGAGGGGACGACCAAAAAGAAAAATTCCAAATTTTTTTTTTAAAAAAACAAGAAAATGCAAAGAAAAGCAAAACAATGGTTGCAGATTTTTAATTCTCTAAATGGGGGAAAAAGAAATAGAGATTTAGTAAAATAAATAATAATAAATATATTCTTTTATTTTTACAAGACAAAAAGTCCCATGGGTATATTTGTCAGCATCTGAGTTGGACAAGTGTTTGGTTTGATCTTTGGGACTCTGTTTTTCTTTCGGAAAAGGGGATCAAAGTTTAATCATTTAATCAAAAAATTGATTAATTTAATATCAGTTTGTTAACATTAACTAAAACCCAGGCGTCAATTTATGTAATAATAGCAGAGTATTTAGGAAACAAAGATTTTCTCTGCTTCATATCCCTCTCACAGATAGAAAATAAGGATAAACAAAGAGTATAGATAAAAGAAAATAAATTTAAATTTTGGGTTTGTTTATGTTTGAATAAATTGCTTTTTAATCTCACGCACACAGAGGTACAATTCTTTTAGTATTTTGTGTGTGTGTTTTCCTTGAATATCATTGGTTGCACGTGGAAACCCAGAAGGTAAATTCTCCTCAGCTTCTTCTCTGTAACAGATTTTATTTATTTTTGTGTTTTTGTATTACTATTATTATATAATTATTGTTTCATTTGTTGTTGATTACCCATCTACCTTCTTCATTCTTGTTTCTCTGCAACTACCCTTCCTTTCGTCCCTTTCTCGCTTGTTCTTCTTTGTAAGCATTTCCCTTTCTTAAAATTTTCAGGCTTTTCTTTAATCAATTTTTTTGGTTTTTCCTTTTTATATTCTTACTATAACGGATTTTACTATGAAATTCATCTGCTTGGGACACATCAAATTGGCTAAAGTTTTGGTTTTTGCTTGATCTCTGATTGTGATGATCATCTCTTCAGTTTCGATTTCTTAAACTCCATGCATAAAGTGATTTGCTTTTGGCTGTGTATCACTTTGTTGCTTTTGGGTTATGTTTAATGAATCTTAAACTGTGTTATTGGTTTTTCTTTTTTTACTTTTGAATCATAGATTCTGTTGACTTTTTAGCATGATCTGAAGTTGTGATCCTTCATTAATTTTAACTTAAAATGACTTTGAGCTACGAGGATTAATGGCTACATTTTCTCTTCATTGTTCATCTTGTCTTTTTTTAGTGAAATAAAATTGTTTTTAATGGAGATTTGTGTGTTATTGTCTCTATTATATGCTTAATTTTGATATTTGGTACCCTTTTTTTTCAGGTTAGAGTTGGTAAAATTGTCAAAAGCATGGCAATTTCTGGGGTTAAAAATGGTAGAGGAGAATTGAGGATTCTTGAGAATTTGGATGAGCTAAGGACTGATTTGGCTGACTATATTGCTGAGCTATCAGAGGCTGCAGTGAAAGAGAGGGGTGTCTTCGCTATTGCATTGTCTGGGGGTTCTCTCATCGGCTTAATGGGGTATCAATCCATCACTTTTCCTTGTTTTGTCTTTGTGATTTTTGGTGTCTTTAAACTTTTCTTTTCGTTTGGTGTGTTGTAAACTCTGTGAAGCTCCTTATAACAAGACTGTAGACTGGGGTAAATGGTATATATTTTGGGCGGATGAACGGGTCGTTGCGAAAAGCCACTCGGATAGCAATTATAAGCTTGCAAAGGATGGCCTTCTTTCCAAGGTTTATATATGGATTCATACTTTTTTCTTTTCGAGAACTGAATGAAGGGAACTTTTGATAAGAATTAGACGCTTGTTGTTGTGATGTTGGTACATTTGGTGTTTGTCTGTTCCTGGATTTCCCTGGTTAGTTAATACACACGCCTGTGCTAGAAAATTCCTTATCTATGATGTTGTTTTCTGTGTTTGGAACAGGCTTGTGTTAACTGGTATAATAGTTGATATTTCACTGGCTGATCATTCAGTAGTGGGTTCGAGGTTCCTTATTTTCAGTGATTCCGATGTTTGCTTGTTGAATACTTCTTCACTGTGTTGTGGTTATCATATTTGCCATTAGAAGGTCTGAAATTGAGATTTTTTCCCTCTGCTCTTTGTGCAAGTGTTTACCGGCATGAATATATATAAAGTATTATCTATTTCTTTTAAATGGAGCTAGATGTTTGGTTTTACTAAAAATCCTCATCTCTTGGGAATAATTTCCATTCAGCTCTGGCATATATTCGCCTTCATGTTTTATATGGTCAATCCTGCTTCTTGATGATGCGATCCTGAGAGATTTGCATCTCTTGAAGTTCCTTTTTTGTTTGTTCACAGTACCATCTCGAAGTTCCTCTAATAGCTGCTTAAGACATTTGTGTCGAAGATGATACTGTTTTCTGCTATTGCTTAGAGGGGCTTCCTTCCACATTTTCTGTCATGGTATCACCATTTTAAAGTTCTATGATTCAGCAATACTTTCATCAATGGATAGGTTGATTGAAGAATTATGCTTCCGTTTGTTTTGTTAAGTTTATGCCACGTTACATATGTGTTCCTATGCTTATGCCATGTATTTGCTGCAGGTGCCGATTGTTCCCAGCCATGTTCATTCTATCAATGATTCATTTTCAGCAGAGGAAGCTGCTGATGAATACACATTCGTTATCTGGCAGCTAGTTAAAACAAGGATGGTCAGTGTTTCCGACATTAGCGACTGCCCCAAGTTTGACCTTATCCTTCTTGGCATGGGCCCTGATGGTCACGTTGCCTCACTGTTTCCTAATCATGCAGTGCTTGATGAGAAGGACGAATGGGTAACGTTTATCACCGATTCCCCCAAACCCCCACCTGAGAGGATGACATTCACGTTGCCTGTCATCAATTCAGCATCCAACGTTGCAATCGTCGTGACAGGTGAGAGCAAAGCAGAGGCTGTGCACTTGGCAATCGATAACATTGGACCCGACAACCCATCAGTGCCTGCAAGGTTAGTACAACCGACGAAGGGAAAGTTGGTATGGTTTTTGGACAAACCAGCTGCTTCGAAACTGGACAGTCTCCGATTTTCCGAGTAGGGTCAAGTTTGTTTCTCGCCAAAAGTGTATGTTTGTACGTAGTGGAGGGTTTTCAAACCCGTCAACCGGTAGTCCTCGATTACTTCCTACTTTTCCCCCTTCTGTTTTGTTATATGTTCACCATTTTGGTTTCTTTTTCTTCTCTTTTCTTTTTGAGAGGTGAAGTTGAATCCCGTTTTTGTAAGGAGATGGAAATAAAAGTTGGGTTATTAGTGCAAAAGCATTTTTCATATTTTGCATAACTGAGGTTTAATTATGCTTCTAATCCCCGTACTTCCCAACTTTTGAAATATAACCTCTCTACTTTTATTTATAGGAATTAAATTTTGAAAAGTTCAAAGAGTACAGGGACTGGGAGCATAATTAAATCTATAATCAAAGTATACTTTTCTTTAAAGATGAATGATTGAAAAGTTCATGACTTACAATGCTCTACGATATGATTAAAAAAGGTTAGCTTCAAGCATTCAACTAATAATTGGATGGACGATGATTGAGATTAAAATACTTTAAATACCTAATCTGCCTCTTCACATCAGTTTAAAATTTAGCTTCTTTACCTACTCCTAATCATCCAGCATTGAATAATGGAAAGTACTTAAATATATCTCAATCATTATTCGTATTCGACATATTTTCGGGCATTAAAAATCCTACCTTCAAAAATAAAAAGATAACAACGGGCAAAATGTTCTTGATCAATATCAATCATCTAATTATTCAAAATTTGGGTAACAATTTCCTTTCAGTAGCCAATAGGGGGAAACATCATACTGGTTTACTTCTTATACATGTATAAGAACCCAACCACCACGGAGATGCCCACAATTGCGACCGGGATAGTCCAATACTGCTTTGTCAAGTCCATGAGCTTCTGAGGGTACTCAGTGGTTTCCTTCTTGGAGGAAATTTCAAGTTCTGGAATGATTGGGGAGGAGGACGTATCGAGTTCGCCGATGCAAAAGCTCTGCATGAGCTCCTTTGCGCTTTCGCTGTGCCCAGCATCTTCAAAATCATCCGTTGCGTCTTTCCCTTCAAGGAAATCATTGGAAGCATGCCATTTAGCTGATTCATTATTTTATAATCTACACACTCTCACCTCCCTAAGTAGGATACAAAAAGCCCGAAAGTACAACAGGTATTACCTGTTGCTGCAAGCACTACATCATCACCTCCTGGATGCTCGTCCAAATAAGAAGTAACATCATATACCTGTAAAGGAGAAAGACAATTCGTTTTGTATCGAGAGACAAGTTAAGGGACGAGTTTGTTTCACTCGAATAAGACATTTTGACCAACATTTCCAGGTGATTTAAAGGAAGATAGAGCGTAACGATTATGTGCGACTGCAATTTAACATGACTACAACTGAATTGATCCAAACTGTTGGAACAATTGCAAATTCATAGTAATGAGTGCATATAGCACATGATGTCAAGTTGCATCCTGCATTTCCCAGCTGTTAAAACTAGTAAATAAACCCCTTGAAGCTAGTTGAACATTGATCAATTAAGATCCCACTTTCGTTCAGGTGGAGCTAGATTCTTTAGGCACTCTGAGCATATGAATACCACGTGATTAGATCGAGCTGAATCGGGAGGCGAAAGAGGGAAACAAAAACTTCACATTTCTTCACCATCAATATGAACCCATGGAAGACACCAGGACAAGGCTTATCACAGATTGAGCATATTGAATAAATAATGTTCATCCAAGACATGATAATGCAAAGCTGTTCAGTTTCTGGGAAAATACAAATACTAAATCCAACAAGCATAATCATTACCTTCAAGCAAAACCCCATAAACATGATCAAATTTCAAAACTCGGGTCTTGCAAGTTTTATCTAAAAAAGGCCTAAACTTTGCAGACAGTGATACACCAACTTGTAATTAGCATTCGAGATCAGCCATAAAATTACGAACAGAACAGATCTAATTGTAAAAATGACCAACAGAAAATTGATAAGGGCGGCGGGAAAACCTTGCCATCTATAACGACCCAGCAATCGTCTTTGGTATTGTGCTGGGAGGCTTCCTGCATCGCGTAAAGCTTTGTAAGGGTCGGCATGGCTTTGACTGTTTTTTCTTCTCAGATTCCTTTGGCGCCTGTCTCGGACTAGTAAAAGCTTATTTATGAATAAATTGGGGGCATGGCGGGCACTCTTTCCTCAGTTCTTTGAAGACTTGGGAAGAGCAGAGCCGTGGATGAAGAAGGCTGGGCTGAGTGGGCTCCACCACCACCAACCCGGCCGCCTGCGAGGTGGCCTGTCGTATAATAAACCCAACGGGCCTTCGCAACTTACACCTGACTTAAAACCATAAAGCTGTAAACCCTATATTTAAATTCAATCAACTTGAGAATCAACTTGAGAATCAACTCGATTCGATGAGTATATTTCCTCTACTTAATTTTAATTTAATCCAAACTTTTGGGTTAAAAATTCACATCCAACCCGACCTAACATAAATATATCAAAAATATTTTTGTTCAATAAAATAGTGACATAATTTATATAAAAAAACTATAGAAAAAAAGAGTATTATAGTAATTATTTTTAAATTTATAGAAGAATACCTTGATTTTGGTTGGATAGAAAAAATTTCACTACAAATTCAAACTAGACCTAATCTTATATCACTCTCTATAAAGTTCGAGTTGATCTAAATTTACCATCTCAAATTAAACGGGATCAAATCAAAATCCGTAGAATTTAGATTTACCATCTCAAAGTGCTATTGACAAATGTTGCAAGGTGGTTTGGCAGTGAATCACATGAGGATTGATACAGTTTGGCTAATCTAAAGGTAGAGTCGTAGACTAGCAGTCACTATCCTTTAGGATTTCAACTTTGGTTCAAGGGCTCGAGAAATTTTAAGAAAAAGTCAAGAAAGTTTCGAGGTTTGACAAAAGGATTGGCAGTGTTTTCGATGCTATACCACAGACATTCTTAAAGGCCAAAAACACGGATTTCGAGCTCAGAACCATAATCTACATCAAACAAACCCTTCAACTTTTCGATCAAAGTTCTAAAAAAAAAATCAACCAAAACTCTTCAAGTTGCCACATAGTTTATTCATTAGGTTTTTTCTTCTTCTTTTAATTGTAACGGGATTTCAAATAAAAATAAAGAAAAAAGTTAAAATTATAACGTACCTAAATATATATAAAAAAAATAATATAATAGTTATAAAAAAAATTATATATAAAATAAAAATATTAAAATCAAATACACGAACAAAAACAAAACATACTCAATTCCACCCCCTCCAAAAGAACACCAACAAACGGAAGCAGAAAGAGGGCGAAAGGCAATGACAAATCACATCAAAAACCAAACGGGAGAGAATGAAATCCAAAGCAATTGGACCGGACGTTAGGGGTGGACTGGACCGGCTGACATTTTAGTTTTTCCCCGCACGGGGGCTTACACTTTGGCCTGTATGTAACTTATAAAACATACCCTTTCCCTTTGTTTCTTGTTTTTCCTTTTTCCTTCTAATTTTAATATATGTTTTACAGTTCATGTTCGAAGTTAAATACTAATATATCAAAGACATAATCCAAAAGGTCAAAGGTAGAACAGTTAAAATATTGTGCAAAAGATATGGTTCCCTATCAAATATTTTGGCACCCATTTCTATGAACTCTTCTTTTGCCACTTCATTATATTCCTTTAGCACATTTCAACAATGACCCCAAGGACATTAGGCACTTCAGATTTGCAGAAACTGAGTTTGAAAAAACAACAAAACTGTCTTTCATTAACAATTCCAAGGGTCTCTTTTGGTAACGCACAGTACTACTCAACATATTGGCAACGATCACAAATTTGGTTTGTCATCCAATAGGATAATGTATACCAAGTGATTGATGTTTGGCATAAGATAGGGTCAAATGGAAACCGAGTTGTCCTCGGTCGTTGTTGTGAACTAGAGATTACTTCTTTGACTACGTTTTTCTGGCAGAAGATCCTCCAATTAAGACTCTAGTGATTCTCTGGTTAAGATTACAGTCTAGTTCTTGTAAATCTTTACTGTTACATTTATTATATATGGTAATGATAATAGTAGGGAGGGGCTTATTAGGTATGTGCATGGTTGGCCTATTATAGCACTTGCCTTTTTGTCTCTTTCTTGGACCCAACTTTGTTGTTGTTGTCAAAGCACATACCATTTGCAGCACTCCCTCTTTATGTAACATTCTTTAAAAGCCTGAAACAAGCCATACCATTTACAGCATTCTCTTTCTCTCTGAGGTTCATTTCTTTTTCTTGGGAGCATCAATGGCAGTCTTGGTGGTGGTAATAGTGGCTTGTTTGCTTGCTTTGGGGCTCTGCATTTGCTTTGCCATGTTGAAATGGAATGAGATAAGATATAGTAGAAGAAAAGGGTTGCCCCCAGGGAATATGGGTTGGCCTGTTTTGGGTCAGACCACTGAGTTTCTCAAACATGGACCGAGTTGCATGAAAAAGCAGAGAGCAAAGTAAGCTTTTTTTTTTTTTGTACTGAGTTGCATGGTTAATGGAAACAATCATGATAAATTGGTGGTTCCCTTACAAAGTACGAAACATGTTACATTTTGTGTTTTTTTGGAACAGGTATGGAACCGTGTTCAAGACTCACATATTGGGGTGTCCAACTGTTATTTCCGTGGATCCTGAGCTCAATAGATACATCCTTATGAATGAAGGCAAAGGGCTGGTTCCCGGTTACCCTCAATCCATGCTTGATATTCTAGGGAAATGCAACATCGCAGCCGTGCATGGCGCTGCTCACAAGCGTATCCGAGGCTCGTTGCTGTCTCTCGTAGGCCCTCTTGTGATCAAAGATGAACTTTTGCCAAAGATTGACAAGTTCACAAGATTTTTCCTTCAGAATTGGCATGGGAAAACCATTGATATCCAGGAAACGACCAATGAGGTTTGTATCATGGTGATCTTGAGCTTTTTAACACTAGAAATATGCTTAATTTAGGTAAATCTATCTCTCATCAGATGGCATTGTGGGTATCATTCAAGCAAATTGTTGAAAAGGAACCAACTACATTCTATGAGATTTTCAAACCAGAGTTTGATAAGTTGTTAGTAGGAACACTTTCACTGCCTATAAACATTCCAGGGACAAATTACCATCATGGATTCAAGGTATAATTTTCAAGACTTTTCAACTTTTCCGTATGATTCTCAAAGAATTTGCCTGATATTTCAGTTTTGATTCAATCAGGGCAGGAAAAGAATTGTGAAGATGTTGAAACAGATTATGGGACAAAGAAGAGCGTCTTCAATACCCTATGATGATATACTTTGCCGCCTTCTTCGTAGCAAAGATTCAAAGTACATTCTCAGTGATGAAGAGATAATTGATCAGATAATTACTATACTATACTCCGGTTACGAGACTGTACGAGACTGTCTTGACGACTTCGATGATGGCTGTCAAGTACCTCCATGATCATCCTAAAGCTCTCGAAGAACTAAGAGTGAGTAACAATTTTTTCGACTGCTCGGAATTTTGATATGGTTTCTTGATTATTTATGGTGTATTTGATGATTCTAGTATTACTTACCTAGGAAGAACATTTTGCTCTCCGAGAAAAGAAGAAACCAGGCGAATCAATCGATTGGGATGATTACAAGTCTATGAGTTTCACTCGTGCTGTAAGCAGAATTTTGACTCTTTGCACGCCTACTTTTCATTGCATCATACAACTAATTAAAGTCTATTTTCCATGCAGGTGATATTTGAAACCTCAAGGTTGGCTACAGTTGTTAATGGGGTACTGATAAAGACAACAGAAGATACGGTGTTGAATGGTATGTTAAAGGGATCTCTGAGCTTAAAATTCTGCATTCTTTTTTTACTATGTTAGTATGTTACCTAGACTTGGAGGTGAGTGTCAGATTCGGGGAGAGATGGACATGGGAGTTGATTTCTTGACCACTAACCCGAAAATCGAAGCATTTCACTTGATTTTGTTCCATCTCGACATTTGAGGATGTTCCATCCACCTTGAACTCGACCTAAATTTTAGAGTAAAAACTCACTACACATAATTTTTCATGTGTTGTTGCTTGACAGGGTTTACCATTCCGAGAGGATGGAGAATATATGTTTATACAAGGGAAATCAACTATGATCCATTCCTTTATCCAGAGCCTTTTACCTTCAATCCATGGAGATGGCTAGTGAGTTACTATAAACTTGATGCTTTCCGTAGCTCATTTTGATTAAATTATAGTTCCGGTTTCTGTACTCTGCTCGAATTAAAGATTCAGTCATTATATTTAATTCGATATAATTTGATGCTCTAGTTTTACCACTTATATAACTCAGCTGAACTTGCAGGATAAGAGCTTGGAGTCACACAATTACTGCTTCATATTTGGAGGAGGCAGCAGGCTATGCCCTGGAAAGGAATAAGGCATACTCCAAATTTCTATTTTCCTTCACTATTTTGTTACCAGTTACAGGTTAGTCCACAATTGCATTTTCATTAATTTTTTTAATTTCAAATTCATATTAATCATAGTTAAATTGGGGGGGGGGGGGTTATGTTGTTTGAAATGCAGGTGGGAGGAAGTTGGTAGAAATGAAATCCATCAATTCTCAAGAGTTGAAGCACCAAACGGACTGCATGTTAGCATATCAAACTACCATGAATGAATTAAAACCAAAACTTCCTCATTTAATAAATAGTATTTTTCATGTAACAAGACGATAACGAATTCCGGATTCGAACTGTACTATCTATAATATTACAACAAATCTAGTATTATTTAAATGTTATTTTATGTTTATAGTAAAAGGTCCTTTTGTATTAAATCAAAACAAAGGTCACAGTACTTGCAAAAGTTACCTATGCAGTGAGGGATGAAGGTATTAAGAACATGAGAGAGGCTTGTACTTCCAAATTTATTTGTATGCCATAATCCTTAAATTATAAACTCCCCTAAATATAGACTTAGTTCCGTGGGAAAGCATAGAGCCAAGTAAGATATTTCCCGTTTATTTGCACTCTCGTCTTGTATACTGTACATGTTTTGTTATTCTGGCTCAACTGTAAGTGTCTGACACTATATTTTATTTTATGAAAAATGAAGAGTTTGAATAATATAATGTATATAAAACAAATTGAAGAAAGGGGAAATATCAGGTGAAAAGCAAAGCAAACACGTGGCATGCGAAGCAAAAACGTTTTCAAAGAGTGGAGGGTTTAGCATGTCACAATGTGTACATGTCGTTATAACTGTTAAGGGAGACTAACGTGGAAATTGCATGGATGCATGACCTTCTTCATTTCCCAACCGCCATTTTTATAAGGGTAACCAAAATCCAGAGGATCTATGTAATAATTTTCCCATATTTTTATCCTTTATATATAGAGACAAAAATCATCTCTATTTATCGTTGAAGACTTGAATTCCAAGTTCCTTCTGTTCCTTTTTTTTAACTCTGTTTCCTCTGTGTTCGGTTCCCTTCCATGGCAGCTGCAAAACCCACGCCGCTGTTGAAAGATGAGCTGGACATAGTAATTCCGACCATCCGAAACCTCGACTTCCTCGAAATGTGGAGACCCTTTTGCGAGCAATACCATTTGATCATCGTCCAAGACGGTGACCCTTGGAAGAAAATCAAGGTCCCCGATGGCTTCGACTATGAACTCTACAACAGAAACGACATTAACAGGATCTTAGGTCCCAAGGCTTCCTGCATTTCCTTTAAGGACTCTGCTTGTAGATGCTTCGGCTACCTTGTTTCCAAGAAAAGATAAATCTTCACCATCGATGATGATTGCTTCGTACGTTCCTTTTTGTATCTCTCTTACCCTATGAAAAAAAAAATCTATATATTTTTTCTATGTATTTTAGGTTGCCAAAGATCCGTCGGGGAAGGCGATCAATGCCTTGGAGCAGCACATAAAGAACCTGTTAACGCCGTCGACTCCGCATTTCTTTAACACGCTCTATGATCCGTACACAGAAGGTTCGGACTTTGTACGTGGTTATCCGTTCAGTCTCCGAGAAGGTGCTCCGACTGCTGTTTACCATGGCTTGTGGCTTAACATCCCTGACTATGATGCCCCCAACCCAGCATGTCAAGCCTCACGAGAGAATTACTAGGTATGTAAAATAATTTCGAATACAAATCACTTCATATCAGGAATTTAAATTGGGATTGCAGTTATGTTTTCAATTATGTTGTATTTGTGGCGACCACAACAATAGTGTACTATTATAGTCATTGTAGGTATTACAATTATAAAATAACGGTTTAGAATGATAATTTTAGCACTATCCAATGATTACTATTTCGATAACGAACCACTATTTAAATTTCCACTTCATATTTAAATAATTTTGAATTTAACTCATCCAATCAAACTTTCATCGGTCAATTTATTTTGAATTTAAGTAATTTTGAGATTTAACATTTGGGCTTCATGTTTAGATTTGGGCCATTTTGGACTATCGAATAAGTTTAAGTTTATATCATTACGACTTCCAATTCATTCTTAGGATTATCTTTTTGGTTTGGGTGGTGGACTTTCAATGACCAAGTTGGTTTTGATTGAGTCACATTCACATAAATCAAATCAGATTTTTATACTCAAATAATTTTGAGTTTGATTTATTTTAAATCACGTTCATATTTATATTCATGTTAGTCGGATAAAATTCTTTGAGTCAAGTTCAAATTCTAATGTTTGTATTTCGTATAAACATATCAATTGGATTGATTTTTATGTTGGATCAATCTATTTTATATCAGTTGGATCAAATCATTCTGGATTTTATCAACTGGTTCAGATCATCGATTAATTTAAAATGTTTAGATTTAGGTTACTCCAAGTTTTACTTGGGGTTTGAGTCATTTGGGGTTTAATATGTAGTTTAGGACTATTATTCACTACTTGTTTTCTTTTGCTAAGGTTTGTTGATGCAATCATGACAGTCCAAAAGGGAACTCTGTTCCCCATGTGTGGTATGAATCTAGCCTTGGACCGCGAACTCATCGGACCGGCAATGTATTTCGGACTCATGCGTGATGGACAGCCGATCGGCCGATATGACAATATGTGGGCCGGCTGGTGCATGAAGGTTATATGTGACCATTTGGGATTGGGCGTGAAAACTGGGCTACCCTACATTTGGCACAGCAAAGCAAGCAACCCATTTGTGAACCTAAAAAAGGAGTACAAGGGCATATTCTGGAAAGAAGAAGCAATCCCATTTTTCCAATCAATTGTGCTCCCAAAGGTCTGCACCAGTGTTCAGAAATCTTACCTTGCACTTGCTGGTGAGGTGAAATCTAAGCTTGGTGAACTGGACCCTTACTTCCTTAAGCTTGGTGATGCCATGGCTACTTGGATTGAACTCAATACTTCTCAGTTCATGTTTGATCAATGTGTTCAAAGCTTAACACATTTGAATTTGTGTAATTTTTTAGCAACATTCTGAACATTAAGAAATACCCAATTGAGTCATTCGAAGTCGAAATAAAAGTGTCCGGCATTACCCAAGATAAATGGGGGAGGAGGTCTTCAATCAGGATTCAAAGTTTCCTGATATAGATAACAAAGAGGGTGACCGTAAATTTAATTATGACGTATGTTGATACGCTGATAGTAATATTTAAGTTTGGTGGTTATAACATATTCATCATTTTTAATTAAGACAAGAGTTATAACCAATAATTTATGGTGAAATTATAAATGATGAATGTGGTCCAGTTAACTATGGTCAAGAAAATCTGAAATGGAAAAAAAAAAAACTTTACCATAAGCTATCAATTGCGATTTTTTATCCGAATAAAATGGGAAAAATGGCTTATAACCATGACAACCAAAATATTATCATCCACAATATCCATATCAGTTAATCACAACAACTATCACACCAAGTCTCGAATGAGTTGTGAACCAAAACGAATCAAATGCTTGTATTGAGAATTGGAGTTGAAAGGAGAGAGATCAAACACCGGTGGAAGGCAGAAACCAGACATGAGTAAACAAAGAACAAATATAGTAAACCAAACAAGCATGTACTGGGCAGGCCATTGAGTGATAAAAGCACAGCCTCGGCCCTTGGGAATGTCGATTTATACTAGCAAAGAAAGGCGAGGAAAACAAGTGTCAAGGATAGGCTTTTGCCATGTTTGGTAATGGAGGAATCGTCCCATCACAAAAGGACAAAGGAACCCCACTTCTTTTCCCCTCTTTCAGTAGTCAGTACTGCTTGGTGGTGCCTATCAACAGAATGCGTGTGTGTGTGTGACATTGACATGTGATTGCAGCATCGATCTCTTTCGGATTTCCATTTTTAACATAGCACCAGCAGATAATGGAATGCATGGACAGGTACCCCATATCAGTCTCTAATTCAAAACTCTTTCCAGAAAATCATGGGTTATCAGGTTCATGGATTATTAATGCCCACTTTCTCTAGTGAAAACATTTGAAGTGTAGATAGTTGAATCCTCCATTGCCAAGCCCAAAGACTTGATCCACAAGTTACATTGTGGCTAAGATGCCAGTACTTCATAGCTACCTTGCCTGAGCTAGGGTTTGCTCTTTAAAACAAAATTTCCTCCACTTTTATCATTCAAGTCAAATACCCGAAGTATTCTCTTTAATTTCTCTTAATAGATACTCTCCTCAAAGATATGAGAAACTAAATCGATTAAATTCGGAAATTAAAATCGAACATAGACTAAATTTAAACTCATAAGTTCAAATCCCACCAAGCATAAACTCTTCAGTTTTCCAATCCTTTTTAGGAAGTACAATACTAATTATTGAAGTTTAAACCGGCTATCCAATGAACGATACTTTATAAACTTCTCTTAAAATACTCGGAAGAAACACTAAATCTTCTTTATTGACAGGGCTTCGTTTCCCCACCATCATCTCTAACCAAAGGTTACATTTATAGCTAGCCAGGTCCTCCTATATGATCAAAACCCCTAACCTTAAATTTCTTCTGAAGGCACCCACACCACACCCTTGAGTAATTACCTCGCTAGCTATATATATAGCACCAGAGTCTCTTTTGTGTTTTCATAGTATGAACCTTGAAGAGAAAGTTGAAATGGACTTGGTTCCACAACCTGAGCATCTCTGCTATGTCCGCTGCAACTTCTGCAACACTGTTCTGGCTGTAGTTAGTTTAATTCATTTTGGTTATTTTTGAACTATTTGATGAACATATAGCTTAGGGTTTCTTATGATGATGATGAATTCATTTTGGTTATTTTTGAACTATTTTATGAATATATAGGTTGGGATCCCATGCAAAAGGTTGTTAGACACGGTGACAGTGAAATGCGGCCATTGCAGCAATCTCTCCTTTCTCAGCACCAGGCCTCCGTTGCAAGGTGAATGCCTCGATCCCCAAACTACCCTCACTCTCCAGGTACGTTTACAAGTGTAACTGCATGAAGCCATGAACCAATCGAATTAAACTTCGGCTTTCGATATGATCATCAATGAGATTAATTTGTTTGTACACAATATGTTGAGGGGAAAGTAGAGTTTCAGCGGTGATTTCATGAAGGGTACTTCGTATTCATCGTCATCGAGCGACCCATCGTCTCCCAAAGCGCCATTTGTTGTAAAACGTACATAAACCATAACTTATTACATACTCTCAAGTCTCGGCTATTCAAAGTACTTGCTTTTAATTAATCTTTTGCAGCTCCTGAGAAGAAACACAGGCTCCCATCCGCTTATAATCGGTTTATGAAGTAAGCAACGCTGTTTTCTGCTCTGAAAAAATCTCTCCCTCTGTATGTATATGTATATATATAATTACATTTTACAAATTTTATATTGAAAGGGAGGAGATACAGCGCATTAAAGCAGCAAATCCTGAAATTCCACATAGAGAAGCTTTCAGTGCAGCGGCTAAAAATGTATGAACAAATTGTCAGTACAATTTCCTCATTTTCTTCGAGATAAATTTGATTTTTTCGTATATTTTATTACTTTTGTTCTGTAACATGCAGTGGGCTAGGCATATCCCAAATTCTCCACAAGCAGCAGCATCAGTTTCTGAAAGCAGCAGCAATGTAAGGAAACAACATATATATACACACACACACATACTAAAATTGTTTTGATTCTGGGGGTAGCGAGTAGCCATAAACCCATGACTGACAGATTGATGATTTTAATTAGGGTTTCAATCAAATTTTCAAGGAATGAAGAAGAAGAGATATTAGTGCAGCAAGTTGCAAAGCTTGAGATGCAGCTGGCCTTGACTGGACTGCTACAAAGAAGATTTAATCCATATTTAACGTAACTTTGATTTGTATCTCAAACTTTCTTAACTATCATCTTTTAATATTTTAAGTATATGCATGTTTCTGGCGAAGTTCATGCACACCTGGGTACAAATTTTACACACACACACACATATATATATATATATATATACTAGGCGTATAATTGATATTACGAGTTAATTAACTCAGTTGAAAAATATTAAATAAGTTAAAATTTCAAAATATAATTTGTTATAATGATATTTATGCTTTAAATAATGTTACTATTTTCAAAAATTAAACAAAAATATAATTGTTTTATTAAACACAATCAAATGTATATAATTTCCAAAATAAATGTTTGTGTCTAAAATACAATCTAAAATCTAAACCGAAGACATACAATTAATAAAAATGTTTTTATGTAATATGTATATAATTGCAAATGACAAAATTAATTAATCATATAATTTAAATTAAATATTATTATTTATATGAACTCATTAGGTGGTTTTAGCGTGATAGAAAAGAGAATAACGTTTTTCCTAAAAGTCTTGAATGCAAGTAACTACGTCTGAAATATGTATGCAATAAAATCAAACTAAATGAGTACATAATTATTTTATATAAAATGATTCATTTTTTTAAGATGGTATATCATAAAAGTTAACTTATGTGTAATTTGGATACTATAATCCTAATAAATATTCTATTACGCTAACATTAATATCTAATTAGTCCATTATCAATTAAAAATATTATTAAATCATTTTAATATGACCTAACCATTTTTTATAGTAAACAATATATATTTATTTACTTATTATATATTTCATGTTCATATAATCCAACCATTAATATTATTAACACTTTAATAATCTTATTTAAAACATTATAAAGTATATGACAGATTAAAAGGAAATAAATCTAAATTTCAATATAATAGAGGGACCAATAGTATAATTAGACCCTTTTAGATTATGAAAGGTAAATTTTAGAATTTTCGAACAAAAATAAATTATTAACATATGTTCATTAAGTAATTAATTTTCATAAATACGCATTAATAAAACAACTCTATAAATTGTTAATAATATAAATATATTTCAATAGTAGCATGTATGATCTCAAACTTTTGGAAAAAAAATTAATTAAGTCTTTGTTTTTTTATTAAGCTAAAATCTCGAATTGATAAAATAAATAAATTAAACCCTTGAATTGATTGATTGAATTAATTAAGTCTTTAATTAATTTTTTCCGTTAAATCTGAACAATATTTTTTAAGACATTACAGTCACAAGATACAATATAGTTCTTTCACGTCAAATTTATATATTTTTTAAAGAATAATTTTTAAAAAATTTGTTGAAATTCTAAAATAATTTCAAATTTATTAAAATTAGTAATATTTCAAAAATATCATCTAATAATATCATAATGTAACATATGACATCAACTTATTCAGGAAACAATAAGATTTACCGGTTACTATGTAAGAACCTTACTAAATACAAAAAAAAAATCAAAATTTTAATTTTTTTTTCAAATATTCTAGAACTTTTGACATTCTTAAACCTATACTGACCATGGGTGGGTTAGGTCAATTTTTAGAACTCTATACATATGTAAACATATACTGACCGCATAATTAATTTATTTGCCCCCACCACTTTTGTTTTTAATTCAGACATCCATAATCCATTGTTGGGTTGAATGATTTACAGTTGGCCTTAAAAGAAAGAGGTGTTCCAAGTGGGAAGTAAACATAAACCCAAGTTGTAATTGTTAAATAAGATTCCCATCTGGGATTTCATGGTTGCATTGCATTCTTTGTACCTTTTGAATTCACAACCCACACTCTGCACGTATCGTGTTCGAAACTATCGAATTTTCAGCCCTAAAGTAACAACATGCTTCAAACACTAAAATTAATATCAACCTGCAGAAAAAGCAGCAAACAAAGATATGCATGCAGCACACTGACAAGCATATCTTCTTCCAATTAACATGAACCACTCAAACTTCTACACATTTTATATATATACAACTTGCTAGTGCAAAATGATTCAAAGTCTGAACTTTTTTTTTGCAGGGGAGACCTTTATTCCAACTGGACTCTTACTTTGTCCATTTGAATATTGCCCTTTCAGTGCAACCAAAGTGATGGGATCACTAAACCAGCTCAAATAGTATCATATTTATCAAGTTTAAACCAGGTTAACTACATAGAATCAGTAGAGGAACTAGAGTAATATAGCAAAAGAACAAAATACTACCGAACTTGCACCGACATACATTTACAATGTCCAGGATTTCACGTTGTTGTATACCGACCGGAAACGAGATGTACCACCAATGGTGTTGGAACATGTCTAAAAGCCTATTTGTGAAATGCATTGCAAGTTTGCAACTCTTCCTGTAAACCTGAAAGAAGAATAGAACATTGTAGATGTATGGAGAATATTTGAAAGCAGGAAAAAAGGGTAGAAACCGACGTTTGTGGATATACCTTTCTCCCTCGCGTACAAATTATGTGGTGAGGAAATAAAACAGTTCGTCGTTTTCCTGCTTTACTTGCATGGAGTTCCGTTGTTGCTCCACTCTTTGGAGATGTGTTGAAAGTTGAAGCAAATCGACAGTGGTTCCGTTTTCGGGAGAAAGGCAATAACTATTGTGCAAAAGATCCGAGTTTTGAACTTGAACATCGAAATTAGCAGTTTGACCAGCACGAGAGATGGAGCCTGCATGGCTTATTACCATGGGGTTCGTTTCACACGTGTAAAAGATATTCGCAGAAGATTTCTCGGAGCAACTATGGACATGGCCAACTTGATCGGTCATATTCTTTTGCATTCCTGTCGCATGGCTCGACAAATCCTGGGATTGAGCTGACAGAAGAGAGAGAGCACAATCTGAGCGTGAAACCCCAGAGAACTCTTTAGCCATTGATGCTGCACTAGGAGCATCGAAGGCTTCGGTTGCTAATGAAAATGTTCCAGAAACATGTTGTCTCCCAATGCCATGCATATGAAAGAAAGATGATGATAGCAACTGCCCGTTTGTGATTGCTAATGCCGACTGAGAACTATGCATTGGATTCTCTTCAGATTTAACCTGCAGACATTGATTAGTGTAGACATGTCTTTCGGGATGAAGAAAGTCTACTTGAAATGTGTTTGGGTTAACGAAAGGTGCTTGTTTCAATACGGACGTCCCCAGAAACTTGCTACCTGAGAATCCACATAGGTTACTAATATGTTACAATTTTGCAAAATTAAATTCTATAGCAATCGAAGGAAGCAAAGCAAGCTAACACAATTTGGTTGCTAGAACTCTGTATTTCTATTTTTAACCTGCAAATCGAATTGAACCTATACCAAAATGCATATATGAACTCATTAGACTTTCAATTGCATGTTTCTGAATACAATGGTACTTTTTAGTTTACGGAACTCCTGATCAAGCATTACACGACCACAAGTTTGGAAATTAAAACAGGATGCATTTTTTAGGCCAATTATTTCTGTCTTTCCAGTATGCAGATATTAGTTTTCGAGGGCTTGCACAAAATGTTTGTATCGACTTAGCCCTAGCCATGTTTACTAGCAAATAATAAGTTACTATCTGTACCAATGCAACCGAGAGTAAAGTCGGTTGTTTAAATTACATGACTGGTTCTACATATCTTCAAATGCGTGAGACTCAGGAGATGTAAAAGCAAGATATGGTTCATACCTTGGTATGAATGCAGCAACTTATGTGATTTTCCAGAGAAGGTATTGAAATGAAGCTTCCTTCTCCGCTCATTATGCCCTGCTAGGCGTTTACGACAACTCCGCTTACCATCATCAAATTCAGCCAGTAAATGAAACCTGATGTAGCAACAAGAATTACGGTTAGCCAAAAATGTATCGAAATGCAGGCCATTAAAGTACAAAACAATGAACAATTATGTTGCATGTCCACCCTAATATTCGGTGTCGAGTTATCTCTAGAAAAGGACAACGAAGTAAAGACTTGGGGACCTTCCACCAAAAAGAAAAAGTCAGCCTGCAAGAATCAACCTATATGCAGGCTGGAATACATGACGATTATAAGGATAAACACATGTACTTATTCATTTGCATTTACAAAATATTCTCTAAATCGATTTCAATAGTTAAACGATATCCTTTATATGATCTTAAACTACAAACATGCTAAGATATTCATTAAATTTTACATAGAAGCATAGCAAAATTGAAAGGAAAAAGATAGTTAAAAAAAAGCAAGCAACCTGCTACACTGTTGACAAAATCTCTGTTCAATTCCATTAACAATAACTTTGACAGTCTTAGAGTGAGCTTCGCAAACTTTATGCCTCTTGTGGTAATCTTTTGAAGAGCTAAGATCCTTGTTGCAACCATAAACTTGACAACAAGGAGTATGGGAAAGCGACCTCGTCGTTCGAGCTTTCTTCGAAACGATGGAAGTTTCCTTTGCGAATTTTCCTTCATGTGCATCTTTATGATCAGTCAATCTCCCTAGCTTCAAATCAATGAGTGAAGATTCTTGACTGTTGGAGTCCATCAAAGAACTACAATGCTTGGAACCAGATTCCTCTTCACCAAAATATAAGCTAGAAGAAACCATACAAGAAGGGGAAACTACACTTTTAGTAGTGGAATCATTACCAAACTCAGCTCCAAAAATCCCCGTACTGGTGTTACCATAAAAGGGTTTCTTGTTCATATCAGCAATACCAAAATCCATGAAATCCATGCTCTCCAAAACTTCAATATCAGTAGAAGAAGGTTTGAGGTCCCAACTTAGCATTGTTTTTCTGCTTCTGGCAAAAGCATCCAAATCCATTTCATCAGTGAAAATAAAGTTTTTTCCTTCAGAACCATAGCTCCAAGACTCCATCAGTATGAGCAATGTAAATTCCTACATATAATTGGTAAAGAAGTTCAAAATAAAAATCATTAATACAATAACTGCTTATCAGGTGCTAAGAAAAAACTAAAGAGAGTGATAAAGATACACGGACCATTGATTTCAGTAGTGTGTTAGTTCAATTTTAACATTACATTACAAAAAAGGAAAGTTGGAGATATCCCGTTGAGCATTTAATTAAAAAAGTACATTAAAAGAGAATCAAAAAGAGGAGAGAAAATCAAAGCTATGTTTGGTTGCAGAGAAAGTGAAGGGGAATTTTTTTTTAAAGGAAAGAAAATGGAAACTCAATGAACATGTTCATGGTGATTGAACCAAGTAAAGCTGATGAATTGAGTTGCCCAGAAAAAAGGTTGATTCTTTGAAATCCAAATCCCATAGAGACAAAATACTGAAAAAAGCATAACCATGTTAGCTGAAGCATAAGAGATTAAGAGAACCCAAAGCTCCAAATTCTTTAACATTTCGAATCCCAAGAAAACAGAGTTGCAAAAGCATAATCGACACACACAAAAGGTAGAAAAAATAAAGGATGAAAACAACCCGTTAAGAGAGATTAACAGACAAAAAGAATTCACATGTGGTGTAACGTTAAGTCCCTGTTAAGAAAACTGTAGTAGAACAATTAAGGATGTCGCAAGATTCCCAACTTTCTTTCCTTTTCCTACAGTTTTCTAGGAAACCAAACAAAAAACCCATCAAACAACAAACATAACCCGAAATTTAAAAAAGGGTTATCAAGATTTTTCCTTTCTTTGCTTACCACGGAGAAAAAAGAGAAGAAAGAAAATGATAAACCAGAAGAAAGACAGAGAGAAAGTAAAGCTGTAGTATTATTAGAAACTTTTGGTTTGTAAATCAAGGTATGAGCAGATACACTGTGAGTCAACATGATTTCCTCTCCTACTATTTCTAATATTCTGTCTCAAAAACATGGATTTTTAATTATTATTTAAAAAAACCTTCAAACAAAACATTATTTTTTAATATAACACTCATTTCGTATTAATTCTTAAAATAACATTCTTTAACCTTTTTTTTACACATTAAGCATTTAATCTTGCTAATAAACCCTCCAAACGCAATCACGATAGTATGGCCTCTGCAATATAGACTCTTTGCTTGATAATATGAACAATGTCGATATATAACTATTCATATTTGATTTATTCATTAGTTAATTCAGATTATGTATTGTAAAGATCTATTATAAAAATAATTATCCTAATTTAATTCTCTATTCATAATATCATGATTTAAATTTTTAATTTTATAATTAACAATTCATCCGGCTAAACCAACTAAACTAACTAAAAATTAGTTCATTTTATTTGAATTTGCTACCATTGTTTTCAACACTTTGAATGTAGGGAAATTGTTAATTTGGCAATGAAACCACAAGGATCCAAGTTTCTTTACATAATTTCTTCCACAATCAACCAAACCAAAATTTGATCTAATAATTCGACGTGAAGGGAAATTGAATTACTTGTTGGTTTAAACCCTAAACCTGACTTATTCAACGTCACCATGTCTTTTGAGGTCTAGAAAATAGGGTCATAAAAAATAAATGTAAAGAAATCATTTTGTAATAGTTCAATAAATATAATGAGTATTATATAATATTTGAAAGTTTAGTGACTAAAAATATCATTAGAACTTAATTAAATGACCTTTGAAGTAGTTTACTCAAAACATAAGGACTGCTGTGTTTTTTTCCAGCAACGACAAATAAAAAGACACTGGAAAAACGAACGAATTATTTATTTCTATGTTGGGATATGTCCAGACCCTGCTTGACATTTGTACAACCGGATGAGCTTACACGTGTCCAATTTTAAAAAGTATTGAAAATCAAGGGTAAATTTACCAAATGTCCCCATAATATTATCTAAATTTTGATTTGGTCCCTAAACTCATCCTAGCAGTTAATTTGATGCTAGTTCAAATCTGTCGTAGATCAAATTGTAAGTACGAGTATATTTAACATATAAACAACTTCGTTAAAAGAAAATATATAAGATTATTAAGAATAAAGGAAACTAATTATTATTTTTAACGTGTTAAATCCAAATTGTCATGTCTTCGCATTAGATTTGTGTTTACATTTAAATCCAAACTTGTCGATTGTTACAAGCTTATAATATTCTATGGTTGCTGTGTTACTAATGAGGATGTTGTGAGTCGTGCTTCGGCTCTCCTGGTTGGTATGTAGGGGCTTTCTGTTTGTGGACCTTCAATTGTTGCTACCGCCTTGTGACTTTGATGCTTGGTTTTAGCATTTTCATTATTTGGCAACTAGGTTGTTATGCATGTGTTATTATGATTATCGCGATTGTATTTTGGTGCCAATATTTATGTCTCGTTTTGTATTTGTAACCTTGTTTGAATACAAAATCTACCCTTTCAAAGAAAAAAAAACATGTAACCCAGGAGATGATTAAACTGGTGAAAAGATCTTATTAATACAATTCTTCGATTGATTAATAAAAATGTTTTAAAAGTTATTGTAATTTGAAGAGGTTTGGTGCAATTAACCCGAGGGAGGGGAGGGGGGGGGGGGAAACAAGAAAGTGGGTACATTCGGCAGGGAGGCACTCGAACCTGACAAACAACTTTCCTTTCGCCCTTTATGAACCAATGTTGCATGAAATGGCATTCCCCTTGTGTGTTTCTGCAACAACTTGTCCATTCTGCAGATGGATAAGAACATATGCTTTTGAAAGCTGCATTTCATACTCTGATTTTTTTTATTATTGCTTTTCAATCCATAATTTAAGCTACTTCAAGCTTTATTTGATAGTAAAAAAATTAAATTAAAAATTTAATCAAATTTGAGTAAGACGAACATAAGATTTTACGTTAGGAGTGTAAATATAAAAAATTATATAAAAAATTTAAGGGGTGCGAAACTAAATAATTCTTATAAAATACAAAGAAAATACTTAATATATAAGAAAATTTAAAATTTATGGGAGTGTTACCGTACCCCAGCACTCCGTCAGTCCATCCCTGCTTACAATCATATATAAAAGGATACTAATAAGTTGTTTAAAATGTTTTTAATTATTACCGTAAATGATAAAAATATTAAACTTGAAAAAAATAGAGATTATATGAAATTATTAAGTGAAATTGGATGAATGTTATAGTAAGTGATAAAATCGTCGGAGCTGAGGACGATTTTGCTCTTTTTTTAAAATCTTAGGCTCAAAATGTAAGAAAATAGAAGTACAAAAACTATTTTTTAAAAATTATCAATTTAAGTGAAAATATGACTTTAAGAAAATTAATAATATTTATGTTTTGACTATAATTATATTACAAACTCTGAAAATCCATTAAAATTATAATTACATGATTTAATATAAAAAAAAATTAAAAAGAGTTTTAATATGACAGTGTGTTTAGTTTAGAATAAAATATGATGTTTGTTCCTTTCTAATTTGTCGTTGATATGTTACGATCGATGGTAATTATCAACGGTTTTAGTATAATTGTAATTTTTATTTACATCATAAGATCAAATTAAAAGAAAAATAAATTATTGTATCATTCATCTTATTTTCTTAAATAATTTATCATGATCCTATTTTTCTTAATTTTTATTTTTCTTTTAGATTGCTATTTCACTAATTTAACCTAATTGTTAGATAGTAAAAGTAAAATTTAAGAAAAATCCAAAAGAAAGGAAAAGGGGAAAGTCTAATGTGCGGTAACTTAATATACTATTAAGGAAAAATATTATTGAAAATGTTATTATTTTTTTTAGTATTTTCAATAAAAAAGTTACCTAAAACATTATTATTTTTACCGAAAATATTATTATTAGACGCTTTATCGGATTTGTTAACATATCTGATAAAATAAATATTATTTTTCTACGAAAAATATTAATATTAGATATTTTACTAGAAATATTAAAAAATATTAATATTTTAGATAAAAAAATAACGTTTTAGATAAATTTTTATTAAAATTAAAAGTAAAATATTTTCAATAATATATTTATTTAATCGTATATTAATACTGTATTAGGGCATAAATTCCCAAGGAAAAGGGTAATATAGAAAGTACTCACAGGGTGGAAGGTGCATATGTCCCCATCAGGCCATCACCAATCTAATCTCCTTGCCAAAGCCATTAATGTGAGTCAAAAGCTGCTATTTGCTTTAGGAAAAAACAATCCACTCAACCTATTCACCCATTCAGTCATATATATATATATATATATACACACACACACACAAAATAAACGGGTAAACAATGGATCTAATTTTTTTTTCTTTAAAAATTGGTGATTAACGATTATCCGTTATAATTTTAAGTATTTAAACAATTATTGTTTTTAAAAATATTCATTAAATAATAAAAATATATTATTATATATATATATATATTTTAAATAAAAATTCTTAAAATTACTAAAACGTGACATGTGTTACTTAACGGATATTTTCAACAACGGTTAACATCGGGACACCAAAAGTAGTAATAAAAAAATATAAGACATCTATTTTTAACAAAAAAAATCTATAGACACTAAAGTATTTTTCTAAACATAATTTAAACACTTATTTTTATATTAATCTATATATATATATATACATACATACATTTCTTTGTGATTATAAAATAATATATGTTCATAAATTTTTTAGTCATTAATAATGCACACATATTACACATACAACTACTCGAATCTGAAATCTTTAAAAAAATAACATTCCCTTTTATCTTTTTAAATATTTAAAGTTTATTATTTAAGATATATGATTTAGAATTTAAGATCTAAATCAGGCGGATAAAATAATAACATATAACAAAATTAATCTGATTTCATTTTAAATATGTTTAAATCCGATCCATATTATAAACCTAACTAATCAATCAAAATTCAATATTTGGTGATTCCATCTAAGTACTTGATATAGCCCACATTTTATATGTGGTCCATTCCTTTGCTGTTGCAGTATTTGGCAGGATTTCTATTAGCATGGCCGCCTCTATTCTATAACTAGCCATAAGTTGATGGCTATAATCCATTGATTTTGAATATATTTAAACGTTAAATAATCATAAATTATATCGATTAAATTTAAAATAAAATAAAATAATATGGATATAGCAGTGGGGTTGCAAGGGGCATAGCAACCAAGTTAGTATGCTCTCCTGTCTCCTGATATACTCTGTATGTGAAAACTTCCTTGCATGGGAATGAGTGCGGTTAGGATTCGAGCCCCGACTTCACCGGAATGTTAGGTGGTTGTAAGAACCGAGTTAAGAGCAGGTTATAACATCATAATCATATACAATAATTTGATGGCTGTCTAGGAAATGTATCATTAGGCTTCTTCTGCATGATGCCTGTTTATGTTGCATAAGATAAACATG